GTCACGACTCACCATAAGCCATAGGACATTATAAGACAGACATAATAGGGAAGACACTTCCTCAGTGCTGTCGTTGTTCGCCTTTGCTTATGTAATGTGCCTGACCGCACTCATAAACATTAACCACGGTTTAGACCAGTTACTTAAAATTTCCCGTTCGATCTGAAGAGCATATTTCACCTGCTTTTGACGTCCTAAGCATAAAAAAGTATTAACAACTTAACTACACGCTGCAGTCCAGTTACACAACGCACTGGAGGAGTTAGGGGCAATCAATATACCAGATGCAGGATTATACTTCTATGACTTGTACAAACTAACGATACTGAAAAATGATACGAGGATCTTTACAAAAACCGCAAGTCTCAATACTTGAGTAAAACTATAAGAGCAGTGCAAATTTTCGGAAATGTTCTTGTTCATTATCGACCCCACACCACAAAATCATCCGTCGAAACAGCAGACTATAACGAACTAATGTAACTTGAGTGAAGCCAACAAGAATAGATAAACCAACACCACTACATGAATTTTGGCGATCACAGAAAAGTCAATAGTGCTCACAAGGTGACCTCATTTGTAAAGTATAAAATGCGACGGACTTGATCTCCGAGCCTTCCTATCAGAGGTCTCGAAGTTCTCGGATTTTCCCAACCCAGCTCGAGTATACTCTGCTGTATACTCTGAGTATACTCTTCAGTTATAAAGATAGTATGGTGGTGGAGTTATGTTAATACTGATAGTTTGCTTTCAAATGAAGGTCTACCTTCTCCTTAAAAGTGTTCACTGAAGGGGCTGATACATGTTTGAACAAGGCGTTTCAGTCATTTTTCTATGGCTAATGGTGAGTCGTGACACTAAGATCATAGATCAATCCCGTGCGGTTGCAGCTTATATGTTCAAAATCTAATGGGTGTCAAAAGTGTAGACTTACTAAATCAGATAAAAATATGTTCACCTCGATGTGTTCAACGTTAGTGAGGTCCAAAATTCGAAAATGGTCTCAAGCGGCAAGCACATGTTAAAAGGTGACCTTGATAATGATAAACATATCATCCTTTTGTATCGGAGGCAAATCAGCTTTATAAGTGTCTACTTCCATGTATGTAGCTTTGAGACAGTGAATGTTGATATTATCTTCGATTCCTTTCTTACCGATGATGTCGCATTTAGTTTTACAATGAAGGTCTTTGAAGTGTCCTTCGTTTGCCATTTCGAGTGGTCATCATAATGACTGTGTACCATGTCGTAAGTCATGTTGAACTAAAACATCAGTTGACTGCGGTCGAGTGGAAACAGATTTAACTGAACTCATGGGGTTTGTGGACCTGCTCGTGTAAGAGTCTATATCCATACTTATTGAAGATGAAGGATCCGCAAACTCTACTGGGATGTGGAGTGTCGTGCAGTCAATGTGTCCAACTTCGGCTTTGACTGCTTTATGAATACCAAGTAAAACTAATGGAAGGACTCTGGTCCACTGTGAAACGTTTTCAGATGAGAGTGAAGCTTTCAAATGTCTATGAAACTGTTCCATCAACCGGATTGCTGATAGGTGGTAGACTGTTTTTCAGAATCTTGTGATTCCTAGTAATGAAATAAGACAACGGAAAAGTCCAAATTCAAGCTGGCGTTCACGGTTTGTAGTGATAATTGAAGGACAGCCGAAGCTGTGTCGACGATCGCGGGAGCGACTGTTTTAACAGTAAAGTCCCTGATGAGTTCTGCTCCAGGCCATCGTGTGAAACGACACACACGATACGAGGTGAGAGTATCCATTTGAATCTGGCAATGTTTCTACCAAATCTGGACGAACATGTCTGAAACTAGTTGTGAAAGAGCCTGATGATTTTTCGTTATGTCTATTCACCTTGGGTTTCTGGCAGCTCACACAGGAGCGTGCACAATCTCTCATGGTTTTCTTCATATCAGGCCAACAAATCGTTCCGCGATGAGGTTGGTGGTTTCTTGTGGATAAAGCTTTGTTCGCGTCATCGCCAAATTTAGATGAGTTTCCAACTTGGTCGGTTGAAGGTCTCATAAGAAACGCTCATTTCTGTATAAACCATCGATAGAAACTTACCAGAATGGCCGCTGCTTTCAGGGGTGAGATGCCTTGAGAATCAATAGTGTGTCCGAGAAATCTAGCGAGTCGGTTCAGATTTGATCATCAAGCAGTCATCTACATATATGTGCGCAAAGTTGATGGCTCTAAAGAGGTCATAATTGAATCTCTTGAAAGTATGTGCATCATTTCTGAAACGGAATAGCATGCGTAAGAATTCGTACAGTCCGAAGGGGGGTGATGGTAGGTTTGTCGTCTGCAGCCATGGAACCTCGGTTGTACGCCTTAACTAAATCGGTTTTCTAAAAAAAGCAGTCGTACCTTTTAGGTTGGCCGTCAGCTAGTGAATGTGAGGCGATGTGTAATGATCGGGAATTGTTTTCACATCCAGTCGCCGATAGTCACCAGTTGGATGCCAATCATAGCTGTCGTTTTTAAGAACCATGTACAAGGGGTATGCCCATCGGTCGTTCGATGATCGGCCAATTTTTAAGCTAATCATGTGGCCGAATTCGTTTTTAGACAACCTCAGAGCTAGCCGACGCGCTTCCGAAAATACAGGTAGTCCTATAGTCGTGATGTGGTGCCTAATACTGCTGGTAACATAGGATAGTTTCAGATGCGTTTGGTATATTTCGGGTACCTATCGGGGTGCCGGTTTATAGAAAGGGTCGATTGTGTGCCTTACTGTGACTGCGGATAATCCACAACCAGAAAAGGAAGTTACGTTGTCGTAAACGGGTGCCAGCGGGGAAGTTTCCCGAAGGGTTTTAGTGTCAGCTGGTTTGAAGATTCGGAAGATGTGGGACTTACCATATTTATTGTGGTGCAAGCACCAATCAAGATTATCTGCCGCCCGTGGTTCAGACACAGATCTTCATCGTAACGAGCTCCTTAGAGGAGTTTTAGAGCGTATACGATTACGGTGAATATCGACATAATGTGTCAGAGTGTGACTATGGTTTGCGACGCCGTTTTGTGTCCTTTGAGAAATTTCTTCGGCAGAATAAACCTCAGCGTTGAGGGTTCTGGTGATTTCCGGAATCCAGTCGGTAAACTCAGCCAGTTCGTCCACGACGTTATTTGTAATGAGACAAGGACTGTCTGCGCTTTTAGGGAAGCTTATACGAGAAGAGCTGTCTAAAAAGGATCTCATCATAGGTCGGTTGACCGATGGTGTCACGCATACATGGCAACACTTCTGTTACGATTCAGTGTTGTGGAAGAGTCGGATAAGTCTTCACCTTAAAGCACATCCTTTTTCAAATTGTTGTAAGGTCCCAAAACATTACTAGAGAACATACTAGGTGTGCAATGCGTTTCGAAGTGACGTGGTAATGCTTTCACAACTGTAAAACTTTATACACGTAGGTCTGTCACTCCGTGGTCGTGGAAGTCAGCCTTTGCGTAGCAGAACCGGGTTTCTATACTGTCAGGCCAGAATGGCAAATAGCTGAAGTGTTGGACGTGAAAGAGGTTTAATCCTGAACAACTTGGGTGCCTGTTCTATCACAAAGATATAACATAGCGATGAATGGGAAAAGAAACATTCGAAAACATGAGAACAATATCACAATCCACTTAGTATTGTTTGTTTCAATCTTCCCATCGATGTGTTTTGGACTGCAACTGGTCAGTCTCTAATCGGTATTTGTGCATACTGTGCGTATTGCCTCAATATACCGTAATTCACAAGCATGGTAAGCAGAGATGGATAGTGGCTAGCAGTGGAATCCAGGACGCGCGTTTCGTCCTATTTGAGACTCGTCAGCTGGATGTACCTGCGTCTCAGAGTTGATGATCACTCTGGGACTCGAACTCAGTACCCTCGCTTCAAACGCCATCGCGTTATCCACTCGGCCACTGAGTCCTGATAGCCACAATCTGTAAAAATAGAAATTTAAAAATGATATGCAATGTTCCAACAAAGAACAGACTCACAGTTTACGAATAGCTGTGCTAGATTATGGCACTGTCATCACTAAAAGTGCCACATGTATTAAGAGTTTGACTACGCCTTTACAAGTAATACCTTTATAATCAAAATATACCAACCCAGTCAAATGAGAAGCCAGAAATGAAGAGATTCGAAGATATATTTTAAAGGCTACCAATTTTCCGAAAAGCATTTCGTTTAAGCAGGGATGCGTAGTACGGTAAATAAACCCGTAATCCGGTGTGGATGACTGATCGAGAGCCTTCAGATAAGTGTGTCCAGTAAAACTAACGAGGTCAGCATCATTATCGAATACTCACAAAATTGTTTGTTTTTGTGATTAATTTTCACTGCTACAAAGTTATCTCCACAAAATAATAAGCAGGGCGTGCTTCACGTTTGTACTGTAAGTAAACCGAAGAACATTGAGGCGAATGAAAGAAACCAAGGGTATCAATATGAACCGAACAATGATACTGGTGAGAAACCCTGTTTGTTTTGGGATCGAGGCGACGAAGTCGTTTTCAATTTGCAGAAGATTCACGAAACTGCGTAAACTGACAAATATCACGCTGGATTCATCAGTACGGAACCACAACGTAAATGATCTGTGTCGAATGATCAGGGGCCTACTGGAGTTAGGCGATTATGCTATCATCAACCAACAGATTGTTCAGTCAGATAGATCTATTCAGGGCACACATCCACATGCTGAAATACACAGAAAATGTTATCAGTAGTTATATAGGCATGACAGTTTTAACTACTCTTACTTCACTCATGGCTATCTCAACCAGTTTCGTCTGGGAGATATTGGACATTTGAGACATACTTCAGGCTCACTAAGATTTAAAAGGTGCGTAACAGTTAGGAGTGATTGAGTAGGTATATTTATTGTCTATGTTACTGAGTATCCAAAGTTACTAATTTGTTCGGTCTTCTTTTTATTTAATTTACACATTTATTTTGCCTGTAATCCGTCATAAATTTTTCATTCAGATGGACCCTTCTGTTATCGAAAATTTTTGCAGTATTACTGGGACGTCTGAAATAGAAGCTAGACATTTTCTGGAAGCTTTCGATTGGAATTGTGACGTAGGAATCGCGGAGCTTGAACTAACCCTTTGTTTTAGGAGGCAGTCAAGGCGTATTTTGATTCAGAGGATGCTATTCATTCAAGCGATGGTTCTCATTTTGACCAAGCTATTCAACCACCGAGTAAGAGCAACAATGAGCCTTCACTTTCCACATTTAATAAACCACCATACAGCAAGCCCAAAATAGCAACTCTGAGTACATTGGAAAATGACAGGTAAGACTATATGTGGTCCTATTTGTCGTGGTAAATTTAAACGAACATGTTTGCATATATCAGTAGTAGTAGTGAAAACCTTTGCCAAACACATGTTAATAGTGACGTTCAAGTATATAAACCTGTCGTTTCAGAGTTTCCCGTTAATTAAATCAGCAAGATTGATAATAATTTCAATGTAGGTAAAAGACTGGCTTTTCATTGTATTAAAAGTGTGCGCAAAAATAAATTAAGATGGCTTTTAAGTAGAAGTTATGTTAAATTCGGACCGCATGAGAAAATTTCACTATCACTTGTCTGAATTGCAGTTTGTGTGTTTTATTTATTTATTTAAACACAAACATTGTTACAAATGATACCGAAATAAACATATGCACATGATAAAAATGACGATGTAGAATTCGTAGGACATATCCAAGCCATCGAAGTTGGTGTTTCAAGGTGACACCAAGTGAACACGATGCCGAATCTCTGCATTAGTAAAATGACATCGCCACTGGATGTCAGCGATACTTCTGAGACGACGACGATCAGATACAGAGAGTCGTCTAATATCCTCAACCCGAAGAGGCCAGTATTCAGTTTCAGTTTGGAAAGGACAGGAGGCTTGATGGCCTGTGTTAGTCCTGGCAATGACGGTCTCTCAGCTGATCCAACTTTCTTTTGAAGGAGTCGACGGATGGAGCCTCAACCACGTGCTGACGTAATGAATTCCACTCGTTGATTATTCGATGGGAAAGTCGGTAGTCAGCTGACAAGTAATTCGTTCTGGGCTTGTGAACTTTTTTGGAGTGTCCTCGTAGATTTTCTGTTTTGGAAGACAAGAAAAGTGAGGGCATATCAGGTGCAAATTTGTCATTTAGCAATTTGAAAACTATAATCAAGTCACCTCTGATTCTTCTATATGACAGCGGGAATAGGTTTAGCTTGGTCAGTCTAGTACCATACGGGAGCTTCGCTATTCCGGGAATCAGCCTAGTTGCTGTTCTCTGAACCCTTTCCAAGAGTTCACTGTCTTTTTTTAGGCAGGGGTTAGCTGCTTGTATACAGTACTCAAGTTTAGGGCGTACGAACACTGTATAGAAAGTCAAAAACGTTTTAGCGTCAAGATGCCTAAAAGCCCTGCGTATGGATCATAAAGTCCTAAAACCTTTGGCGGCTATTGCACGGCAGTGTGCAGTAGTCTTTAAGTCTTGACTGACAATGACGCCTAAGTCGTTGTGTGCCTGAACAATAGGTAACTCAGTGTTATTCATCGTGTATGTATCTGTACCCTGATGGCCAATATGCATCACAATACACTTGGAAGTGTTTATCGGCAATTGCCAGGTTTGGGACCATTCAGATAATCTCTCCAGGTCATTTTGAAGTTCTAAGCTATCGCCCTTGCTTTGTATCGCTCTCCATATCTTGACATCATCAGCATAGAGTAAGACCGATGATGATAGTAGACGAGGGAGATCATTTACGTACAGGAGGAATAACACTGGCCCCAAAACTGTACCCTGGGGGACTCCACTAAGCACAGTTTCCCAGCTAGACAACTTGGAGTTCACCCTTACTCTTTGTTGACGCCCAACTAGGAAGTCTTTTATCCACATCAATAGATTGCCTCCAATCCCGACATTCCTTAGCTTATATAACAGCCGGTTATGCGGAACTTTGTCGAAAGCTTTGCTGAAATCGATGTAAGCTACGTCTATAGGTAATTTTTGGTCCTTAAGAGCGCACCAGCTTTCACGAGCGACTAATAAGCTTGTGAGACAAGAGTAACCTGTTCTAAAACCATGCTGCTTTTCGGAGAGGATCCGGTTTTCATCGAGACACTTTAACAGTTCCTTCCGAATAATCTTTTCTAAGATTTTAACAACCACACTAGTTAGGCTAATTGGTCGGTAGTTCTCAGGCTTATATTTTGTACCTGTTTTGAAGACTGGACTTACTATGGCGTTCTTCCAGTCTTTTGGTAGACGACCCTGGGTTACGGATAGATTAAAACATACACTTAAAGGGTTCGCAACAAAGTTAGCTAATTCCTTTAATAACCTAGGATGCAGTTCATCGGGTCCAGTGGATTTACCTATGTCAAGCTTAACTAGCAGACCAAAGACATCGAGTTCTTTAATGGTTACGCTGTCCAGTGCTTGTGTGGGTGGATTTTCATGGACTGGTGAGAAGGGTGTTTCTATGGTGTATACATCGCTAAAGTATTTAGAGAATACTTGAGCTTTGCCAAAGTCATCCTCCACTAGTGATGTGGCAGTACTGTCTCCCCATAGTGAAGGAACATTTCTTCTTCTTTTTGTCCTTTGGTTTATATACGAATACAAGCGTTTAGGGCATTCTATGGATTCCCTAACGATTTTCTCTTCGTACAGCTTTCTGGCCTTACGGAGGGTCGAGGCACAGGTATTTCGAGCCTTTTGATACTGAGATTTCGCCTCGTCAGTCCCCAGTAACCTAAATCTGTCCCACATTTTTCTTCTTTTACGGAGAAGGATGCGAACCTCCCTACTGAACCACGGTGGGGAGTTTCTCGGTCTCTTAGGTGTAGTCCAAGGGATGTGGGGGTGGTAACTTTTAAGTATAAATTCCGGAATACGTCCCAAGCCGTTTCGATTGATGACTCTGGATCTAATTTCCAATCTACTAATGATGCTGATTTCATGATGTCTGCTATGTTTGCTTTCCAGACGTTAGGTCTGGATTGAGCTGGAGCGTACTCGTGATCGACAGTTATATGGAAGTCAAAGCTTAAAACTGCATGATCACTTTTGCCTAGGGGTGGCATGTAATCCAGGTTTGCAACATCATCCTCATAATGAGTCAATATAAGATCTAGTAAGGATGATGCAGAACCCGGGTCGTACCTAGTTGCTTCCTTCACGTGTTGCACTAGAGCACATGTGATTATCGCATCAACTAGTTCCTGTTCGAAGGAGTTTGCTGACGATTCAGTCCGCAGATTTCCCCAGTCCACCATGGGTGCATTAAAGTCCCCTAGGATTAGACATCGATCACTTCGTGATAAAGTGTTGAGACTGCTTAGCAGGACCTCGTTTGCCTCACAGCTTGGACTGCGATAGATCAAACTAAGTAGTAACTCTTGTCCCCTGCATTTCAGGCGGCAGCAAACTAATTCATACGTCCCACTCTCATGGGATACACTGTCGATAATGGTGAATGGAATAGCATTCCTAATGAATAGCATTTTATTGAAATCAAGGCCTAAGTCAGTTAATAATAAGACGTATTACGTAGCAAGAGAAAGATTGAGGTTCACGCTTCATCCAAAACCTAAAAGACATTAAAACGACTGCGTCACATCCCACTGTGTTTATCAATTTAAATATGTGTGGTCACATATACATAGGGAGGAGCAATCGTGATCTCAAAATTAGGGTGTGTGAACATGTACCCATATGGCTGAAGAAACAAATAAAATCAAATGATCCAATAAGAGTAGAGGATAAACATCCGTCATCCTCTATTGCCAAACACGTAATTGAAACAGGTTATATGATTGATCTTAACTCGGCTTTTGTGTTGTACGAAAGTGTAAAAGGACGTATGCTAAGGTTTATTGAAGCCTTAGTCATATGATAATTCAACTTCCCTTTGTGTATTCAAAAACTGTTTGTTATCACCCTAAACCTACCCTGGTAATATTAGCTTATTATCCAGAGTGATGAGGTTTCAAATTGTTTTCACATTATTTTCTTTTCTGATAATCTTCGTCTTCTAATTACACTATTAAAATTTGTTAAAGGGACTAATTGTCTAACATAAGTATGCCTAAATATTAGCTTCATCACTTTATTTTAATTGATTTAGTCAAAATTAGTGAAAAATTCCGGTTATGGTGTGTTTTAATCTTCCCTTTATTGACTCTGCAATATCTCCACCTTTGACTCCAGGTTGAATGAAAATAGTATTCTTGCTTGCTGTGGTTTCTTCAGGGGTTTTTCTTCATTTTGGCTAGATTGCTTAATACAGTAATTTGGATACTCTCTATGAAAAATGTCTTATATGATAACAGTTCTATACAGTTGTACAATCCTTCCATTTCCATCCATCAGAACCATGTCAAAACATTTTGTTGAGGGACATGTTAGGGAATCAAACGAATTTCGGTTCTACTTTGTGATACTAGAAGGCCTAAAAAAGTTGCCATTAGTTTCAGTTTTTATCCAAGTGTTTTTAATAGAAATAACTCACGCATATACAGCCATCAAAGAATGTAAATAATTCCATTACTCTCATTTTTCGTATAAACTTGAGGCTCTAAAAATCCTGCCAACAATATAATATTCAATATTAGAATTCTTATTCACTGTGAATCTAAATCATTCATGTAGTCTGACTAAACACCTTTCCAAGCCAAAATTAAACTTAGTTTCATTGAAAACTTTCCCCATTTTTATTAATCAGTCTCAATTATGATCTTCAACGAACTATTGTTAGTTAATATGCCAATTACTTATTAATGAACTATACAAATACCTTGGAAAATGACATGTATTGATTTGCAATACTCTATTACCGTAGTCAGTCAGTCAAAATATAATGCCTGATGCTTTCAACCTTAGTTTCTAGTTATCTACTTTTAAGAAGAGAACGTGGTTGGTGTGATGGAAACATTCATTATTATAACCAGCTGTACCAGTGGTTGTTTTACTGTACCTTTTTGTTTAATTGTACCAAAAAACACTTTTTCCGTTGTTTGTGACCTTGAACCTACTGACGTATGTACGGTAGTCTCGCCTGTAAACTTTGGTACGATCTCGGTATTATTTCGATATCACAAGATCACCAACAAATATATCCTAACTACAATCTACAACTGTCCTCCTAATATTTATCCTACTGAGGGATTTAACCTGGTAATTGGCACTTAATTGGTCTGTGGTGGTTATCATAGTCAACTGCGACCCAACATTCCCAGAAGTTGGTCTTCAGTTTAGTAGAACCATCGGCCAATGTAAGGGGTGAGTTATTACGTGACGGAACATGTGATTGCCTCCAAGTAAGCATTCAGAGTTTCAATAGGAAAAACCACGCTATTTCGTCAATATGCTCAAAATTATTTCGTTAGTATGGCGAATGGTGAAAACTGTTCAATTTGAAGTTGATTCTCACCCTAGATAGACCTAGCTTATGAAGATTGGTGGAATTCAGCTTTAATGAAAACTAAACACAAAAGTATGTCGACTATTTAACTAATTAAAATGTTTATCTCCATAGTGAAAAAATCAAGATTAAAATACAAGATAGATTTACAGAAGATATACATGTATAGTAATCATTTATTTACAACTTATCATTCACTTTTAACCGATTGACGAATGAATATTTTAATACTTTCATTCGCAAAAATAAAAAAGGTAGATATTTGATTAAACTTTGATCAACAGTAGCATACTGTTACGTATGTACATAGAGACATTTTTGTTTATGAAGTGTTTGTATTAATGTTTTTGATTACATATTTGAACACAAACCAATCTAAACCGGGTCTTGTTGTTTGTTTCATATTATGTACATTAACACAGTTGGCATCTAACACAAATCACCTTCTTTCAATTTAGCATAATATATATTTTGATCAGTTTTAATACAGTAAATGTAATATATATTTTATGCAAATTTATTCAAGTCAGCCAAAACCAGTCATTATGTAACATACGTTAACATTCTCAACTGAATGTATAGATAAATATTTCATATAATTTACAATTTGATCAAATGTCCTAGAAACGATATTCAAATGGTTAACGTACTATGATGAATTATCTTTCTTCATGCTATGCAACCTGCTTTATTTTTCCAAGAGTGGTTGATTAATTCCACCGTGTCTATTATGGATTACTTTATGCAATCTGTTCAAAAATTTATTTTAATTATCTCTCCACTAACTTAAGAAAACATAATAAATCAGCAAGTATAGACAAATTTTTCCCATTCCTTATCATTTTTCAAATAAACTAAATGTTTGAGTTTTTAAGAGTTAGCATCAATCAATGATAATCATTTCATTCAATTACTTAAGCCTGACGTATGTTTAATTAGAAATAGTGTATCAACTTGACTACTCATCCTTGATATAGTTTAATTTCAGTGTCAGGGTTTTTCACTGGGACTCCGGGAGTTACCTTTGATAGTTTGTTAGAAATAGTTTCGAGAAATAACAGAAAATGTATATAGAAATGAGAAACTAACTTATACGAGTACAGGTAAATGGTTTACCTATTTTTACAGAACACTAACTTCAATCCATCACACATATCCTATCAATTCTCTCAACAACAAGATAGTTTAGAATTGAACACCAAAACACAAAAGGACTGGAAGCGATTCATGAAATGAATTTTGGAATAACTTTTCAAACATTATCAATGTTCTCTATCATCTATATCAATAAACCTAATTTTTTTGTCTGGTTGTTATGCTAGGTATATTTAGTGGTAATCAGAGCAGTATGACATTGTATCAAATAAATTGCATGCAGCCTTAAACATATCAGATTTTCGACAATTGTATATATATATATATATATATATATATATATATATAGAGAGAGAGAGAGAGAGAGATCAGGAAGCTCGTTAAGCGAAGGCTTCTTCTATTCCATCCAGAACTACTTGTTGTTCGCATGTCAAATAACTAGTTGACAACATTCCGTACACTTTCTCCAACTTTTGTAACTCACACACCCCATTCAACTTGGTTTGATACTAGAGTATCTTAAGGAGTTAGAAATATCCCAGAAAGCTTTTTTAGTGCAATGGGTCAAGATATCACTGTAGCTGTCACATGTGTCTAAAATTTCAGAGTGAGAGGTTGTAGTGACCGGCCAGTCTCGATAAGAACACGATTGGAATAACGGAAACAATTATTATTATTGTAACCAATTGTACCAGAGATTGCTTTACTGTATTTGTTTAACTGTGTCAGTTTCACTTCTGCTTTTGCTCTCCGCCTTGTTTGGTTCGAACTTGCTCACGCACTGCCTGTTCGCCTGTACTCTTTAGCACGTCTCGGTATTATTTTGATACCACGAGATCGCCAATAAATACAATTGATCTGGATTAATAAAGTCTTCTGTTTTACGAGCTATCAAAGGAACCAAGTCGTTTTTGGGCGCGTAAACGAATTGTAGTGGTGATCATAGTCCGTCTTCGACTCGACATCCACTACAAACTGGTGAGCCGTATTGGGAACACGCACATCTGGCGAACCACAACCAGTAACCCAATTCTTCGAGCACAGTTCAAACTTGGCCAATTCTTCAAACCAGATCAATCCGGTGAGCCTATTTATCTATCCACTTCTGTTGCATATATTCGTATTGATATTTTCAATATATAATATCTTGGCAACTTACCATGGTGGATAACGATAACAGTAGTATGAATATAATAGACTCCGAGGTACAGGCTATCAATTTTCGACCGGTTCCTTTCATCCCTCATGATCCAGAAGTCTGGTTCGCGGCACTGGAATCTCAATTTGAGATCCGCTGCATAACCAACCAAAGGCAAAAGTACGCCTACGCTTTGGAATCATTGCCCGGGGATCACCTAACTGCTGTTCGTGAGGTTGTCCTCAATCCGAACGTTCCGAACGTTTACGACCGTCTTAAGGATGCCATCCTTCGACATTTCCTCCCATCAAGAGAGGAACGATTGAGGACTCTCTTAGCACGTCACCCTATGGGTGATGCTAAGCCGAGCCACCACCTCACGCGCCTGCAATCCCTTGCAGGAAACTCGACAGCGGACTCCGAAACAGTCAAAGAGTTATGGCTCGAAGCATTACCAGCTAGTATCCAACCAACTCTTACGGCCCTGCTCGAGGACACATCCCTCATAGCAGACAAGATTCTAGCACTTGTTAGCGCCAAAGACAACTATATTGTTGCCTCTACTTCTCATTCAAACATGGATTTCGATGCTAGACGACCTTCGGCTCATGGGGATAGGGACAGATGTATCCATACACGTCTCACTTTCCGAGACCGCTCAAATGTGCCAGCCCCCTACGTCCCCCGACCCGGGTCACGATCTCGAAAAGCCGTAACGACTTGCCCCAAGCGGGCATCTTCCAAGCCACGCCAGAAGGCGGCTTCGGAAGCGAGTTCGAGTTGGTGCTGGTTTCACCGTGCCTTCGGGGCCGGTGCCCGTCATTGTCGAGCTCCCTGCTCATACAAGGTGGGTAACTCCTTAGCCGGTGAGTAAATACGGCCGTACTCATCGGCCCTTCACCTCCGTTTGACCGTTTATTTTACGTGCACGATTATTGCACTAACGGTAGGTACCTCGTGGATACAGGTACCCAAGTTTCTGTTGTACCTATCACTAACAGTAAGTCTCAAGCTACGATGCTTCGACTACGCGCTGCGGATGACTCAGTCATTCCCAACTATGGTACACGACAACTTACGGTCAATGTGAGCAAACAGCCTTACGAAGGCCCTTTTCACGTGATTTCCCGTCACGAAAAGACCTTCAAGGTTGATCGACATGGCCGTGTCAAAGTAGTCAGCATTGATCGTCTCATGCCAGCACACGTCGATGACAGTGCCCTACCTGATAAGCCGAGACCCAATGCTAAACCCATCAAAGCTTCTAGCGGGATCTCTACATCTACTTCGGATCCCACGCTAGATGCACCTGAGACCTCATTCTCACGTCCCAGTCAACAGCACTTGTCATCTGCCCCGTCTACTGACGAGACTTTCGTCTCACGTCCAGACCAGCAGACCACACCGCCCTTGGCTGTGGATGAGATTGCAGGCTCACGAGGTTCGAACGAGACTACCGTCTCACGTTCCGGTCGCCGAGTACGCTTACCCGTACGCTTTCGCGACTAACCTCATAACCAGCAGCGGATACAGTATAGGACCTTAACCCTATACTACACGAATGCTACACTCTTCTCTTTTTCTCTCTTTTTTTGTTTTCCCCGAGCCTACGCCTCCGACCATCGCTGTTACGGTATCGTCGACTTCAGTCAACTTTGGCGAAAGCTGGCCAGATCACCCACGCTCTAGTCAACGCACTCAGTCTACCTCTCTGGCTCCAAATACGTATGGTATACATTTGGTCACAAACACGGTTATCCTGGTCGCATCTGGTTCCTTGGCTCAATCTGGTTTCGTCCTACGTCTGCAGCGTTTTTGGTCCGGACCTCTACGAACGCAACCTTCAGATTCTGGATACAAACCACTCTGGTGTAGCATGCTAATCCAAGCAATCAATACAGTACATTCCTTCTGGTACCGTTCTACGTCAAAGGCTTTTGGTGGCAACTCGAGGATCAACGATCACTTCCTGTTCTGCCAACGCCTTCGTCCTACAAATGCACGTTTCGCGATCAGTCCCACGAATGAAACTGCTACGTATCGAAAGTGTAAACCCTTTCTAGCGGGGGGCTCCTGTAGTGACCGGCCAGTCTCGATAAGAACACGATTGGAATAACGGAAACAATTATTATTATTGTAACCAATTGTACCAGAGATTGCTTTACTGTATTTGTTTAACTGTGTCAGTTTCACTTCTGCTTTTGCTCTCCGCCTTGTTTGGTTCGAACTTGCTCACGCACTGCCTGTTCGCCTGTACTCTTTAGCACGTCTCGGTATTATTTTGATACCACGAGATCGCCAATAAATACAATTGATCTGGATTAATAAAGTCTTCTGTTTTACGAGCTATCAAAGGAACCAAGTCGTTTTTGGGCGCGTAAACGAATTGTAGTGGTGATCATAGTCCGTCTTCGACTCGACATCCACTACAAGGTCATCACAGATGTAAGCAAACTTCATATCTACTCTTTAACTCATGACACATCAGACTACAATATAGTTAATTTTAAAGACTCTCATCAGTGAGAGATTAGGCCATTAAGAAGTTCCTGGCTAAAGATCTAAATCATCGATTTGTCACTGTTTTGTAGAATAGGAAAATTAAACGGTTATTTCGTCATGAGTTTTCACTATGTTTCTCGACATTACTGAGTGAGAAGTAGTAGATTAGTTGTTTTTGATATTTTGGTTATGGTTATCTTATATATTTAGTAATAAAAGAGTCCACATTTATATGCAATATAAAGAAGTTTGTTGAAAACTCAAAACATTCATGAGTTTAGGTAACAAACTTATTGATACAACAGTACGAATGTGAATATTGTTCCTATGAAGATGGATGAAGATTATGTTCTATACACAAAGCTAAATTGTCGACCTGAGACATTCAGAAATGTCATCCATTTGACAGTTTAAACTCACGGTAACCTGTCCGTAAGTTGAACCAACTAAATACGATTAATTTGAGGTTATTATACGAGCAACCCTAGATGTTTTTAGTTAATAGTTCAAATTTGTTGATCTAGTGGGAAGAAAAATACAGAGTAAATAAGGTTTAAAATCACGTCTTAGTATGGATAGCATCAAAACTATATCAACTTCTAATGTGCCTTACAAGAGGGTAAAGTGGTCAAGTTTCACAATTGTATGGTAATCCTTGAAATTCTGAAATTGCAAGGGTAGATGTTCTGTACTGTGAAGCCAAATAATCCCCGAAATGAACAGTTCAGAAAGTCTTTAACATTGATCCTGACCTCACTAGTTTCACTAGAGACAACCTAGCTAAAGTTGCTTGGTCAGATATCCACATCAAACTGCTATCCGATACGCGACCCTCGCAACGACTAGTCAGCGTATGTAACTTGGTTCTTGACACATCGACTATCTTCATTCACATCTTTGAACTCCTTTAATTCAGACTTAGCTTGACTGAGTCTGAAATCCTCAACTATAAACTTGTAGTGGATAACAGCGTGGTCAAACCCTTGATGACTGTGAGATCGTTGCTACCTCTTGCCATTATAGAGGTCACCTTTTAACATGTGCTTGCCGCTTGAGACCATTTTCGAATTTTGGACCTCACTAACGTTGAACACATCGAGGTGAACATATTTTTATCTGATTTAGTAAGTCTACACTTTTGACACCCATTAGATTTTGAACATATAAGCTGCAACCGCACGGGATTGATCTATGATCTTAGGGTCACGACTCACCATAAGCCATAGGACATTATAAGACAGACATAATAGGGAAGACACTTCCTCAGTGCTGTAGTTGTTCGCCTTTGCATATGTAATGTGCCTGACCGCACTCATAAACATTAACCACGGTTTAGACCAGTTAGTTAAAATTTCTAGGTCGACCTGAAGTGCATATTTCACCTGATTTTGACGTCATAAGCATAAAAAAGTATTAACAACTTAACTACACGCTGCAGTCCAGTTACACAACGCACTGGAGGAGTTAGGGGCAATCAATATACCAGATGCAGGATTATACTTCTATGACTTGTACAAACTAACGATACTGAAAAATGATACGAGGATCTTTACAAAAACCGCAAGTCTCAATACTTGAGTAAAACTATAAGAGCAGTGCAAATTTTCGGAAATGTTCTTGTTCATTATCGACCCCACACCACAAAATCATCCGTCGAAACAGCAGACTATAACGAACTAAGGTAACTTGAGTGAAGCCAACAAGAATAGATAAACCAACACCACTACATGAATTTTGGCGATCACAGAAAAGTCAATAGTGCTCACAAGGTGACCTCATTTGTAAAGTATAAAATGCGACGGACTTGATCTCCGAGCCTTCCTATCAGAGGTCTCGAAGTTCTCGGATTTTCCCAACCCAGCTCGAGTATACTCTGCTGTATACTCTGAGTATACTCTTCAGTTATAAAGATAGTATGTTGGTGGACTTATGTTAATACTGATAGTTTGCTTTCAAATGAAGGTCTACCTTCTCCTTAAAAGTGTTCACTGAAGGGGCTGATACATGTTTGAACAAGGCGTTTCAGTCATTTTTCTATGGCTAATGGTGAGTCGTGACACTAAGATCATAGATCAATCCCGTGCGGTTGCAGCTTATATGTTCAAAATCTAATGGGTGTCAAAAGTGTAGACTTACTAAATCAGATAAAAATATGTTCACCTCGATGTGTTCAACGTTAGTGAGGTCCAAAATTCGAAAATGGTCTCAAGCGGCAAGCACATGTTAAAAGGTGACCTTGATAATGATAAACATATCATCCTTTTGTATCGGAGGCAAATCAGCTTTATAAGTGTCTACTTCCATGTATGTAGCTTTGAGACAGTGAATGTTGATATTATCTTCGATTCCTTTCTTACCGATGATGTCGCATTTAGTTTTACAATGAAGGTCTTTGAAGTGTCCTTCGTTTGCCATTTCGAGTGGTCATCATAATGACTGTGTACCATGTCGTAAGTCATGTTGAACTAAAACATCAGTTGACTGCGGTCGAGTGGAAACAGATTTAACTGAACTCATGGGGTTTGTGGACCTGCTCGTGTAAGAGTCTATATCCATACTTATTGAAGATGAAGGATCCGCAAACTCTACTGGGATGTGGAGTGTCGTGCAGTCAATGTGTCCAACTTCGGCTTTGACTGCTTTATGAATACCAAGTAAAACTAATGGAAGGACTCTGGTCCACTGTGAAACGTTTTCAGATGAGAGTGAAGCTTTCAAATGTCTATGAAACTGTTCCATCAACCGGATTGCTGATAGGTGGTAGACTGTTTTTCAGAATCTTGTGATTCCTAGTAATGAAATAAGACAACGGAAAAGTCCAAATTCAAGCTGGCGTTCACGGTTTGTAGTGATAATTGAAGGACAGCCGAAGCTGTGTCGACGATCGCGGGAGCGACTGTTTTAACAGTAAAGTCCCTGATGAGTTCTGCTCCAGGCCATCGTGTGAAACGACACACACGATACGAGGTGAGAGTATCCATTTGAATCTGGCAATGTTTCTACCAAATCTGGACGAACATGTCTGAAACTAGTTGTGAAAGAGCCTGATGATTTTTCGTTATGTCTATTCACCTTGGGTTTCTGGCAGCTCACACAGGAGCGTGCACAATCTCTCATGGTTTTCTTCATATCAGGCCAACAAATCGTTCCGCGATGAGGTTGGTGGTTTCTTGTGGATAAAGCTTTGTTCGCGTCATCGCCAAATTTAGATGAGTTTCCAACTTGGTCGGTTGAAGGTCTCATAAGAAACGCTCATTTCTGTATAAACCATCGATAGAAACTTACCAGAATGGCCGCTGCTTTCAGGGGTGAGATGCCTTGAGAATCAATAGTGTGTCCGAGAAATCTAGCGAGTCGGTTCAGATTTGATCATCAAGCAGTCATCTACATATATGTGCGCAAAGTTGATGGCTCTAAAGAGGTCATAATTGAATCTCTTGAAAGTATGTGCATCATTTCTGAAACGGAATAGCATGCGTAAGAATTCGTACAGTCCGAAGGGGGTGATGGTAGGTTTGTCGTCTGCAGCCATGGAACCTCGGTTGTACGCCTTAACTAAATCGGTTTTCTAAAAAAAGCAGTCGTACCTTTTAGGTTGGCCGTCAGCTAGTGAATGTGAGGCGATGTGTAATGATCGGGAATTGTTTTCACATCCAGTCGCCGATAGTCACCAGTTGGATGCCAATCATAGCTGTCGTTTTTAAGAACCATGTACAAGGGGTATGCCCATCGGTCGTTCGATGATCGGCCAATTTTTAAGCTAATCATGTGGCCGAATTCGTTTTTAGACAACCTCAGAGCTAGCCGACGCGCTTCCGAAAATACAGGTAGTCCTATAGTCGTGATGTGGTGCCTAATACTGCTGGTAACATAGGATAGTTTCAGATGCGTTTGGTATATTTCGGGTACCTATCGGGGTGCCGGTTTATAGAAAGGGTCGATTGTGTGCCTTACTGTGACTGCGGATAATCCACAACCAGAAAAGGAAGTTACGTTGTCGTAAACGGGTGCCAGCGGGGAAGTTTCCCGAAGGGTTTTAGTGTCAGCTGGTTTGAAGATTCGGAAGATGTGGGACTTACCATATTTATTGTGGTGCAAGCACCAATCAAGATTATCTGCCGCCCGTGGTTCAGACACAGATCTTCATCGTAACGAGCTCCTTAGAGGAGTTTTAGAGCGTATACGATTACGGTGAATATCGACATAATGTGTCAGAGTGTGACTATGGTTTGCGACGCCGTTTTGTGTCCTTTGAGAAATTTCTTCGGCAGAATAAACCTCAGCGTTGAGGGTTCTGGTGATTTCCGGAATCCAGTCGGTAAACTCAGCCAGTTCGTCCACGACGTTATTTGTAATGAGACAAGGACTGTCTGCGCTTTTAGGGAAGCTTATACGAGAAGAGCTGTCTAAAAAGGATCTCATCATAGGTCGGTTGACCGATGGTGTCACGCATACATGGCAACACTTCTGTTACGATTCAGTGTTGTGGAAGAGTCGGATAAGTCTTCACCTTAAAGCACATCCTTTTTCAAATTGTTGTAAGGTCCCAAAACATTACTAGAGAACATACTAGGTGTGCAATGCGTTTCGAAGTGACGTGGTAATGCTTTCACAACTGTAAAACTTTATACACGTAGGTCTGTCACTCCGTGGTCGTGGAAGTCAGCCTTTGCGTAGCAGAACCGGGTTTCTATACTGTCAGGCCAGAATGGCAAATAGCTGAAGTGTTGGACGTGAAAGAGGTTTAATCCTGAACAACTTGGGTGCCTGTTCTATCACAAAGATATAACATAGCGATGAATGGGAAAAGAAACATTCGAAAACATGAGAACAATATCACAATCCACTTAGTATTGTTTGTTTCAATCTTCCCATCGATGTGTTTTGGACTGCAACTGGTCAGTCTCTAATCGGTATTTGTGCATACTGTGCGTATTGCCTCAATATACCGTAATTCACAAGCATGGTAAGCAGAGATGGATAGTGGCTAGCAGTGGAATCCAGGACGCGCGTTTCGTCCTATTTGAGACTCGTCAGCTGGATGTACCTGCGTCTCAGAGTTGATGATCACTCTGGGACTCGAACTCAGTACCCTCGCTTCAAACGCCATCGCGTTATCCACTCGGCCACTGAGTCCTGATAGCCACAATCTGTAAAAATAGAAATTTAAAAATGATATGCAATGTTCCAACAAAGAACAGACTCACAGTTTACGAATAGCTGTGCTAGATTATGGCACTGTCATCACTAAAAGTGCCACATGTATTAAGAGTTTGACTACGCCTTTACAAGTAATACCTTTATAATCAAAATATACCAACCCAGTCAAATGAGAAGCCAGAAATGAAGAGATTCGAAGATATATTTTAAAGGCTACCAATTTTCCGAAAAGCATTTCGTTTAAGCAGGGATGCGTAGTACGGTAAATAAACCCGTAATCCGGTGTGGATGACTGATCGAGAGCCTTCAGATAAGTGTGTCCAGTAAAACTAACGAGGTCAGCATCATTATCGAATACTCACAAAATTGTTTGTTTTTGTGATTAATTTTCACTGCTACAAAGTTATCTCCACAAAATAATAAGCAGGGCGTGCTTCACGTTTGTACTGTAAGTAAACCGAAGAACATTGAGGCGAATGAAAGAAACCAAGGGTATCAATATGAACCGAACAATGATACTGGTGAGAAACCCTGTTTGTTTTGGGATCGAGGCGACGAAGTCGTTTTCAATTTGCAGAAGATTCACGAAACTGCGTAAACTGACAAATATCACGCTGGATTCATCAGTACGGAACCACAACGTAAATGATCTGTGTCGAATGATCAGGGGCCTACTGGAGTTAGGCGATTATGCTATCATCAACCAACAGATTGTTCAGTCAGATAGATCTATTCAGGGCACACATCCACATGCTGAAATACACAGAAAATGTTATCAGTAGTTATATAGGCATGACAGTTTTAACTACTCTTACTTCACTCATGGCTATCTCAACCAGTTTCGTCTGGGAGATATTGGACATTTGAGACATACTTCAGGCTCACTAAGATTTAAAAGGTGCGTAACAGTTAGGAGTGATTGAGTAGGTATATTTATTGTCTATGTTACTGAGTATCCAAAGTTACTAATTTGTTCGGTCTTCTTTTTATTTAATTTACACATTTATTTTGCCTGTAATCCGTCATAAATTTTTCATTCAGATGGACCCTTCTGTTATCGAAAATTTTTGCAGTATTACTGGGACGTCTGAAATAGAAGCTAGACATTTTCTGGAAGCTTTCGATTGGAATTGTGACGTAGGAATCGCGGAGCTTGAACTAACCCTTTGTTTTAGGAGGCAGTCAAGGCGTATTTTGATTCAGAGGATGCTATTCATTCAAGCGATGGTTCTCATTTTGACCAAGCTATTCAACCACCGAGTAAGAGCAACAATGAGCCTTCACTTTCCACATTTAATAAACCACCATACAGCAAGCCCAAAATAGCAACTCTGAGTACATTGGAAAATGACAGGTAAGACTATATGTGGTCCTATTTGTCGTGGTAAATTTAAACGAACATGTTTGCATATATCAGTAGTAGTAGTGAAAACCTTTGCCAAACACATGTTAATAGTGACGTTCAAGTATATAAACCTGTCGTTTCAGAGTTTCCCGTTAATTAAATCAGCAAGATTGATAATAATTTCAATGTAGGTAAAAGACTGGCTTTTCATTGTATTAAAAGTGTGCGCAAAAATAAATTAAGATGGCTTTTAAGTAGAAGTTATGTTAAATTCGGACCGCATGAGAAAATTTCACTATCACTTGTCTGAATTGCAGTTTGTGTGTTTTATTTATTTATTTAAACACAAACATTGTTACAAATGATACCGAAATAAACATATGCACATGATAAAAATGACGATGTAGAATTCGTAGGACATATCCAAGCCATCGAAGTTGGTGTTTCAAGGTGACACCAAGTGAACACGATGCCGAATCTCTGCATTAGTAAAATGACATCGCCACTGGATGTCAGCGATACTTCTGAGACGACGACGATCAGATACAGAGAGTCGTCTAATATCCTCAACCCGAAGAGGCCAGTATTCAGTTTCAGTTTGGAAAGGACAGGAGGCTTGATGGCCTGTGTTAGTCCTGGCAATGACGGTCTCTCAGCTGATCCAACTTTCTTTTGAAGGAGTCGACGGATGGAGCCTCAACCACGTGCTGACGTAATGAATTCCACTCGTTGATTATTCGATGGGAAAGTCGGTAGTCAGCTGACAAGTAATTCGTTCTGGGCTTGTGAACTTTTTTGGAGTGTCCTCGTAGATTTTCTGTTTTGGAAGACAAGAAAAGTGAGGGCATATCAGGTGCAAATTTGTCATTTAGCAATTTGAAAACTATAATCAAGTCACCTCTGATTCTTCTATATGACAGCGGGAATAGGTTTAGCTTGGTCAGTCTAGTACCATACGGGAGCTTCGCTATTCCGGGAATCAGCCTAGTTGCTGTTCTCTGAACCCTTTCCAAGAGTTCACTGTCTTTTTTTAGGCAGGGGTTAGCTGCTTGTATACAGTACTCAAGTTTAGGGCGTACGAACACTGTATAGAAAGTCAAAAACGTTTTAGCGTCAAGATGCCTAAAAGCCCTGCGTATGGATCATAAAGTCCTAAAACCTTTGGCGGCTATTGCACGGCAGTGTGCAGTAGTCTTTAAGTCTTGACTGACAATGACGCCTAAGTCGTTGTGTGCCTGAACAATAGGTAACTCAGTGTTATTCATCGTGTATGTATCTGTACCCTGATGGCCAATATGCATCACAATACACTTGGAAGTGTTTATCGGCAATTGCCAGGTTTGGGACCATTCAGATAATCTCTCCAGGTCATTTTGAAGTTCTAAGCTATCGCCCTTGCTTTGTATCGCTCTCCATATCTTGACATCATCAGCATAGAGTAAGACCGATGATGATAGTAGACGAGGGAGATCATTTACGTACAGGAGGAATAACACTGGCCCCAAAACTGTACCCTGGGGGACTCCACTAAGCACAGTTTCCCAGCTAGACAACTTGGAGTTCACCCTTACTCTTTGTTGACGCCCAACTAGGAAGTCTTTTATCCACATCAATAGATTGCCTCCAATCCCGACATTCCTTAGCTTATATAACAGCCGGTTATGCGGAACTTTGTCGAAAGCTTTGCTGAAATCGATGTAAGCTACGTCTATAGGTAATTTTTGGTCCTTAAGAGCGCACCAGCTTTCACGAGCGACTAATAAGCTTGTGAGACAAGAGTAACCTGTTCTAAAACCATGCTGCTTTTCGGAGAGGATCCGGTTTTCATCGAGACACTTTAACAGTTCCTTCCGAATAATCTTTTCTAAGATTTTAACAACCACACTAGTTAGGCTAATTGGTCGGTAGTTCTCAGGCTTATATTTTGTACCTGTTTTGAAGACTGGACTTACTATGGCGTTCTTCCAGTCTTTTGGTAGACGACCCTGGGTTACGGATAGATTAAAACATACACTTAAAGGGTTCGCAACAAAGTTAGCTAATTCCTTTAATAACCTAGGATGCAGTTCATCGGGTCCAGTGGATTTACCTATGTCAAGCTTAACTAGCAGACCAAAGACATCGAGTTCTTTAATGGTTACGCTGTCCAGTGCTTGTGTGGGTGGATTTTCATGGACTGGTGAGAAGGGTGTTTCTATGGTGTATACATCGCTAAAGTATTTAGAGAATACTTGAGCTTTGCCAAAGTCATCCTCCACTAGTGATGTGGCAGTACTGTCTCCCCATAGTGAAGGAACATTTCTTCTTCTTTTTGTCCTTTGGTTTATATACGAATACAAGCGTTTAGGGCATTCTATGGATTCCCTAACGATTTTCTCTTCGTACAGCTTTCTGGCCTTACGGAGGGTCGAGGCACAGGTATTTCGAGCCTTTTGATACTGAGATTTCGCCTCGTCAGTCCCCAGTAACCTAAATCTGTCCCACATTTTTCTTCTTTTACGGAGAAGGATGCGAACCTCCCTACTGAACCACGGTGGGGAGTTTCTCGGTCTCTTAGGTGTAGTCCAAGGGATGTGGGGGTGGTAACTTTTAAGTATAAATTCCGGAATACGTCCCAAGCCGTTTCGATTGATGACTCTGGATCTAATTTCCAATCTACTAATGATGCTGATTTCATGATGTCTGCTATGTTTGCTTTCCAGACGTTAGGTCTGGATTGAGCTGGAGCGTACTCGTGATCGACAGTTATATGGAAGTCAAAGCTTAAAACTGCATGATCACTTTTGCCTAGGGGTGGCATGTAATCCAGGTTTGCAACATCATCCTCATAATGAGTCAATATAAGATCTAGTAAGGATGATGCAGAACCCGGGTCGTACCTAGTTGCTTCCTTCACGTGTTGCACTAGAGCACATGTGATTATCGCATCAACTAGTTCCTGTTCGAAGGAGTTTGCTGACGATTCAGTCCGCAGATTTCCCCAGTCCACCATGGGTGCATTAAAGTCCCCTAGGATTAGACATCGATCACTTCGTGATAAAGTGTTGAGACTGCTTAGCAGGACCTCGTTTGCCTCACAGCTTGGACTGCGATAGATCAAACTAAGTAGTAACTCTTGTCCCCTGCATTTCAGGCGGCAGCAAACTAATTCATACGTCCCACTCTCATGGGATACACTGTCGATAATGGTGAATGGAATAGCATTCCTAATGAATAGAGCTACTCCCCCTCCTTTACGCGTTTGTATTCTATCGGCCCTTACCAATGTAAAACCCTCGAAATCAAGTTCCCTACTATCTATAGACGGCGTCAGCCATGTTTCTGTGACTGCGATTATGTCTGGCCTAGTTGAGTCAATCTGTACACCTAGTTCCGGTAGCTTATTTAGTAAGCTCCGGGCGTTGGTATAACAGATCCGAAGCCTATTTAGGTGGCCTCGTGCTTCACCCAGAGTGGCTTCGGCATCATCCTCTGTCGAAGCCTCACAACCCGAAAATTTACAATTTTCAGGTCTTTTTCGCCAGCGTCTAATCTGAGCTGTAGTTCCTTTTCGGCTTCCCGTCTTTTAACACGGTCCGCCAACGGTAAGTCCTTACTTAGAAAAACTCCTGAACCCTTTAATTTGTGTCCATTTTCTAAGATTAAGTCGCGTTCGTTTGAGGATTTGAAAACGACTTTGAGTAGTCTAGACTGATTTGGTTTCAGATGCGCTAGATTTCCTAGTCTATACACCTTTAGCAAGGTGACTCCGGGGATGTTTTTGGGCATAACTTGGTTGAGTAGTTGTTTTATCAACACAATGTCATGCTCAAAACGAGCTTTCGGTTCTAAGTTGTCACTCTCCTTGACTCTATGGAGAATGACTGATCTGTCGCTGTGATCAGACCTCGGCTTGTCGACCCTTTTGGTGGGGGTATGATTTCCTTTTACGTCATTTTGGCGTTTTTTTCTTACGACCCGTACCCAATCGCCAACGTTCTTTGGAGTGGTAACCACATTCGCGTCAGGCGTACTGTGGGATTCCGGAAGAGTCAGGACGACTTGGGAGATCGGGTCATCTTTCGCGCTGGAAACCGATCGAGCCTTGCGGTTTCGGCTTCCTGAAGTTCCCTTCTGGGTACCATTTTTGATACGAGGGACAGAAGAGACTTTTTTGCGCGAGTTTCTGGTTGTAACAGTCCTCTTTGGAGGATGTTCTTCCTCCTTTGTAGGGTGTGGGTCGGCAGTTTTTGGACTCACTTGAACCTGCCTTGTGTCAATCTGCGTGTCGACAGATTGAGTTCTGACTGATGTATCCCGACCGCGCTTGCCGAGACACTTTTTTGCGGCATTTACTATTGAAATGGCCTCGGTTAGCAGGCTATTTGCATCCAAACAGCACTGTTGACATAGCCATGAACACCCATTTTTACTAAACTGCTTGAAAGCTGCAGGTGTTAGATTCGTGCAAACATCGTGGTACCAACCTTTGCACTCATCGCACTGCATGCCGCTATCAACAGGATATCGACATCCTGGGCGGTGGCAAATGCTTTTGTTGCATCTTCCAGTCATTTTAGGATGCGAAAGTGAGTGTTGACTACAAGTAGAAAAAAAACCATAAACAGTTAGGACCAAAGTACTAACAGACACAATGGAAAAAAAGGTACTCTGGAGTACCGACGATAAAACTATTTAGGATACCAAAGATGATACTCTAATAGAATACTTTAACTGAAAGAAATTCAATCAAAGTATAAAAACAGTAGTCTTGATACGTTAATAACGATCAAAACAATAGAATTTACTCAACGAGGAAAAATACCACTGTCCTTTTTAAATAGCGCGCAAGTGTTCAAATACATAGCTTAAAACCGCTTTCAACGATGCGTCGAAGATCAGATCTTTCAAAACAAGACTATCATCATGAAAGCGCCAAAGATGGGCCAGATTGACAAAAGCCGCTCTGGACTTCACTATATGTGAATTGATCTCATCATTCAAGTCTCTATCGGCACTTACAAAGCAACCCAGACATATGAACTTCTCAATTACTTCTATCTGCAGGTTTAGGGTATTACAACTCCATTAGAAGTATTTTGCACCTGGAAGGTACAAAACACATGGCATACTTATGGACACTGATTAGAAATGATTAGAGGTGGGTTATATGACTTGTGTATTATTGCAAAGTAAGACAACGTCGTCCTCATACTACAGGTCAGAAAATCTTTCTGTTCATCGAACAACTTTGTCCTTCGTTCAAGATGTTGGTTGATGTCATTGGTTGGCATTCTGTTAGCTTCATAGATTGTTTCACTCACATAAGACTCCTTGCTGCCAGTGACTCAGATGAGTCGAAAGAGCTTCCAGCAGTTAACAGATGCAGTTGCTGTTTCACACTCGTTAGCACATTCCAACCTCCAGGCTTCTTGGTCCTTACGCAAGCTTTGTATAGTTCAATAGCGTAACAATATGCGGTTATCGCTGGGTTCACAGTTACCCGGAGTAAGCCAATGTAAGCCAACGAGTTTTAAGGATCCTGTAGAAACCCGAAGGTTATAAGTGGAACGTTTCACGTATCCGCGAGCGACTTTACCCTCCATTTTCATGGCGTAGTGCAAATGTAATCAGTGCTCATCTGTACTTTTCGGTGGGTCGATAGCTAGTCCATAACTTGGGTTGGCTTGATATTCAGTTGCAACAGAATCTACAGTCAGTTTGCTTACATCGACCCGTTTAGAACGATGAATTTGCTCGCCATTAAAACATAAGATAAGATTAGCGCAAACAAGAGCATGATCAGAATCCAGAGAAGTACTCCAAAAAGGAGCGGTAATTAATCAAGTCAACCAAACGACTCTTCTCTGCGCCTAAATGCCTGACATCCACATTCAAGTCTCCGGCTAATACCACAATGTCTTTCGAACGCACTTTCTATATAAGGACACTTGACCAATGGTAAAACTTATCCTTGATCGCATCGGGCTACCATCTGTCAGAGCGTAGGCGAAGATAACGAAAAGACATCGTTTTTCACACCGATTTAATCTCACTTTGATTGAGTTTTCTAATCCAATACCACAACCGACTGTTAATAGGGAACTAATGGATTAGTGCTGCCTCAGCCTTAACGCTTAGTGCGACACCAACGCCAGCAAAACATATGTTTATTCGTACTGCTTAGCTTTGCATTGTTATTTTTACTAAGCTTGTTTGTTAACTTCTTTTTTTTGTTTCGTGTTTTGAAGCACAAATCTGAGTCGGCGCTTCGTTTCTTCATTTTTGATAGTCAGCTTTAAAATGTATTTGAAGTCGCCTATTAATTTTCGCTCATGAAAATTGTTTTACTTCTGCTCTCACTTGGAAATGCTCCTTAATTGTCTTATGGTAATAAAGTTTAGTAGTTAAAGACTGTAGAGAGATTAAATGAGTTGTACCACATTCTTTGATTTTACTAATAGTATCATTAAATTGAAGGGAAGGGCCAATTACAGTCCCGCTTTGCTACTTTGTTTATAAAGTTTTACTTGCTGGCATGAATGTGTCGGCCTTTTCATAAAACTAGATAGGTCTTCTAGTATACTAACCAAATAAGTCTGTAAAATCGTTATTAATTCGTTTCAGTTAACCTTTATTTGTCAAGGATATTTAACCTATGTCATCAAATAAACAAGCTTTCTTCTGGGATCCACTAGGTTGTTTTTACTAATTATTATGAATGCAGCAATCCTGAGTGTTAGTCATGTGACACATGTTTGCTTACCACTTTGTCCCATAGTCAAACTCCATTCCACTAGTTTGCGGACTCATTCAATATCAACCTTTTACAGCACAGATTGTCGGCGGGTTTCGTACTAATCGTTTTCATTTTTCAAACCTGAAAATAATTTCGTAATAATACCGGTATTCCATTTTTTTGATTAGTGATGATGAATCTGATAAGGGACAGGCATTCTACGTTGGCGGTTCAGAGACTGGAGGTGGTGGTCAACAAGTCCTTGGTCCTCCAAGACGTGGTGATAATGAAAAAATTCATAACCCTTCCCAAACTCCTGACGTTTTCATCCGTAATCTTTTTCAAGCTGCTAAAGGTAAAGGAGCAGAAGTATTGGATACACACGAATACAATGAATACAAAAGTAAATCGAAAAAGCAATTGCCTTTTAGTGGAACTGGCTACAAGTAAGAGAAATTTCGGATGAAAATTATACACGATATCATCGTCAATTAATTTTCTTCTGATGTTAGATTTTCTTAATTTTCTCACTTATTGTGGCTCATTGTCATTTCATACTGTGTCTGTACCTGCACCACAGTATTGTTATTTTTAACGATGAGTCTGAAATGTGACATGCTACGCGTCTTGCGCTGTGTCACTAGTTTATATCAAAACTTAAAATCAACAAATGAAATAAGGTAACATTGAGTCATCTGTTTTAGTAGGATTTAAACTTATAAAGAATGGTCGATTCAGTGTGCAATATTAACAACGGTAAACTCCAAATCCTTACAACAATCTAATGTATGTTTATTCGATGCTTTTCAAATCAGCGTGAATAAAGTAAATTGTGAATCACTGGTCTAAAAGCATGACAAAGGTATTCGACCAGGGCCCAAAATGCTTCCCATTTACCACAGTGTGGACAACCATATCACTTCATCTCCAGTTGTAAGGATGGTAAGACAATTGACCAATGTCATTAGCTCCTACACTTGGATGATCATAAACTTACTTGGTTGCAAAGGGAACTGCATAAGTTACCGGCTACCTTTGGTTTCCTTATGTAAAAACGTTGTTTATTAAGACTACACGTGATGCATGAGATCAATTTGGAAGTTATCTGGTTCTCAACTAAGAATCGATAACCCCACCTAAATAGTACTAATCTTACTCAAAGATTCATAATATTTTTTACTCATCATTTCAGTTTTGACGAAAGAGCACATGTTATGGAGAATTCGTCTAGCAATGTTGAGATCAAATAAGGGTAACACAGAATCGGTCCCCGAATTCTCTAGTAAGTTTGACGGTGTGGAAAATTCGCTCTCCCTTCTCGAAATCCTCTCATATGCCACTGCCTAGGAAGTCCTACTCACTACCTTCTCGCTGCTGGGGTTCTGTTTTACAAAATAGAGAGGATTGGAGGCGAATATCTTGGGCTTGAACCGCATTAATGGGTACGAAAGTTTCACCTAACGAATTTGGGAAACCCAATTCCAAACCAATGGTGCACATTTGATCTAGTTTCCTGATAAAACCAATGGCGTTTGAACCTATTTTTAATCATCGGCCAACATGAAAACGTATTTCCTAACGTTACTTTACTGCCTTGTGGATTAGATCTTTAGGTGAAAGGTTCGGTGAGTGGTCCTTTGAAAAACCACCTGTTTCAATTTGGACGCTTGTGCAGTATCCCGACCCTCACACAAATATAATTTTTTATTTTATTTAAACACAAATATTGGTACAAGAAAGCACCAGATAAATATGCGCCTCGCAAATCTCATTTGATTTGTGTGAGGGATGTGATGCTGCCCAGGTGCCCAGACTGAAGCAGGACACAAATATAATAATACCTTCAACTAGAATAAATTACGCTTTCTCTAATCCTCATTCTCATAAATTATACTCATAACTCCTCGGTAACATTCGTCCTTTTTTTATATTGCGTGACTCATCTGTTCCTTTCTATTTCCAATTTGTGTATTCATTTATTTTTCAACTCATACAGAAGCTCGCCTATGTTGGGAATGTTGTTTTATCTAAAGGATATCAAGTCATTGACTGGATGAACTTTGAACCCGCCTTTCGGGAACCATGTATACCATTTAAAATGGGTTCCTTCAACGTTCCAACACTAATGCAGGTCGAACTACAGATAGGGTTGACTATGTCTTTAGAAGATATCAACGTCGATGTCTATTATCTGTCCGAGACCCGCATTCAAGAATCTAGTAAAGCACTACAAATTCGCTCTCCATTTGTCGCTTCGAAAAGCTTGTCTCACGCGTGTTTATCTGGGGATCCTGTGGCATCTTCTTTTAGTTTTGCTGGCGTTGGTGTCGCACTAAGCGTTAAGGCTGAGGCAGCACTAATCCATTAGTTCCCTATTAACAGTCGGTTATGGTATTGGATTAGAAAACTCAATCAAAGTGAGATTAAATCGGTGTGAAAAACGATGTCTTTTCGTTATCTTCGCCTACGCTCTGACAGATGGTAGCCCGATGCGATCAAGGATAAGTTTTACCATTGGTCAAGTGTCCTTATATAGAAAGTGCGTTCGAAAGACATTGTGGTATTAGCCGGAGACTTGAATGTGGATGTCAGGCATTTAGGCGCAGAGAAGAGTCGTTTGGTTGACTTGATTAATTACCGCTCCTTTTTGGAGTACTTCTCTGGATTCTGATCATGCTCTTGTTTGCGCTAATCTTATCTTATGTTTTAATGGCGAGCAAATTCATCGTTCTAAACGGGTCGATGTAAGCAAACTGACTGTAGATTCTGTTGCAACTGAATATCAAGCCAACCCAAGTTATGGACTAGCTATCGACCCACCGAAAAGTACAGATGAGCACTGATTACATTTGCACTACGCCATGAAAATGGAGGGTAAAGTCGCTCGCGGATACGTGAAACGTTCCACTTATAACCTTCGGGTTTCTACAGGATCCTTAAAACTCGTTGGCTTACATTGGCTTACTCCGGGTAACTGTGAACCCAGCGATAACCGCATATTGTTACGCTATTGAACTATACAAAGCTTGCGTAAGGACCAAGAAGCCTGGAGGTTGGAATGTGCTAACGAGTGTGAAACAGCAACTGCATCTGTTAACTGCTGGAAGCTCTTTCGACTCATCTGAGTCACTGGCAGCAAGGAGTCTTATGTGAGTGAAACAATCTATGAAGCTAACAGAATGCCAACCAATGACATCAACCAACATCTTGAACGAAGGACAAAGTTGTTCGATGAACAGAAAGATTTTCTGACCTGTAGTATGAGGACGACGTTGTCTTACTTTGCAATAATACACAAGTCATATAACCCACCTCTAATCATTTCTAATCAGTGTCCATAAGTATGCCATGTGTTTTGTACCTTCCAGGTGCAAAATACTTCTAATGGAGTTGTAATACCCTAAACCTGCAGATAGAAGTAATTGAGAAGTTCATATGTCTGGGTTGCTTTGTAAGTGCCGATAGAGACTTGAATGATGAGATCAATTCACATATAGTGAAGTCCAGAGCGGCTTTTGTCAATCTGGCCCATCTTTGGCGCTTTCATGATGATAGTCTTGTTTTGAAAGATCTGATCTTCGACGCATCGTTGAAAGCGGTTTTAAGCTATGTATTCGAATACTGGCCTCTTCGGGTTGAGGATATTAGACGACTCTCTGTATCTGATCGTCGTCGTCTCAGAAGTATCGCTGACATCCAGTGGCGATGTCATTTTACTAATGCAGAGATTCGGCATCGTGTTCACTTGGTGTCACCTTGAAACACCAACTTCGATGGCTTGGATATGTCCTACGAATTCTACATCGTCATTTTTATCATGTGCATATGTTTATTTCGGTATCATTTGTAACAATGTTTGTGTTTAAATAAATAAATAAAACACACAAACTGCAATTCAGACAAGTGATAGTGAAATTTTCTCATGCGGTCCGAATTTAACATAACTTCTACTTAAAAGCCATCTTAATTTATTTTTGCGCACACTTTTAATACAATGAAAAGCCAGTCTTTTACCTACATTGAAATTATTATCAATCTTGCTGATCTAATTAACGGGAAACTCTGAAACGACAGGTTTATATACTTGAACGTCACTATTAACATGTGTTTGGCAAAGGTTTTCACTACTACTACTGATATATGCAAACATGTTCGTTTAAATTTACCACGACAAATAGGACCACATATAGTCTTACCTGTCATTTTCCAATGTACTCAGAGTTGCTATTTTGGGCTTGCTGTATGGTGGTTTATTAAATGTGGAAAGTGAAGGCTCATTGTTGCTCTTACTCGGTGGTTGAATAGCTTGGTCAAAATGAGAACCATCGCTTGAATGAATAGCATCCTCTGAATCAATTTCTGGTGTAGACCCCAGTGATATTCGTAATCCATCGTTGGACATTAAGTGATAGGGTTTATATTAGTTAACGCCGAGACAACTGTATTTGTTATTTGTTTTCTAAAGTTCGTCCTCAGTGTTACTTTGTATACTTCATTCTTCTATCCCATTAGGCTCGGTGATGATCTTAATGCTCCTCCCCAGGTCGAGGCAACTACTGCGAGCGGTTCCAGCACAAACAATGTCTCTGAAAAAAACGTTGTTGTAAAAATGTGGCGTGATGGTTTTAGTTTAGACAGTGGGCCGTTACGTTCATATACTGATCCAGATGCTTCTAATTTTTTGAATGCAATACAGAATGGTCAAATCCCTGAAGTTAGTGTGTTTGGTTTTGGATTAATCATCTTTTCCTTCTATTGTGTTTATTATTTAACGTTGGATAAAATTTCATACTTTTGTATCAACATTGGGATTGTAGAAATCTGAATGTAGATAGTCTTTGTCATTAACTAATAACATAGTAACATGGCAAGAATTTAAGTATTCTTATCTCCTTAATATGTTGACTACAAATGTTGATAATGAAATTCATGGAGAAATCCTCTCAGTGTTTAGCTGAAACAAGATATTTGTAGGTTACTAGTATTTGACCGTATGTGTCTTTGAAGGATTTCTCGTGTATTTTGAGACTATCAATTTAACAATTCTGAGGTTAGACTCAGAGTACTAGGTAAATATAAAAAATCAATTGATGGAGTAATGAATCTTTATCGGCTAAGATGGTTGTGACTTATATGACGTACTGCCATTCACTGACCACCTCAACACGCATTGATGGCTGATGTAAGAATAGGTTGGGAGAAACCTAGGAGCGGCTAAACCAAAACATGGGATCAATCCATGACTACGTTGGCTCTTGGTTTGAGTCATGTGGGTAGGTGCAGATTACCTTGTCGAGGGATCTGTGCGGTCATTGTGACCAGTGATTAGAGACTTTGAGCGATATGGCTCAAAATCGTTCGCAATGGCGCAGGTGCATTCACTCTTTGATCTCTTCTACTACCATTAATACTGATTCTACTTTTACTACTTTGAGATTTGCCGTAACAATTTCGTCTTACTGTGCTAATAGTATATGGTAACTTGAACTGATATACACATATCCCAGGTTTTACTTTGTGTCTGACTTACAACTCAATAGTTTTCGAAAAATATGCTTGCATTGTTTCGTCCACACGTCCTCCTTTATCAAATACGTGTTCTTAAACGCGAGGAAGTTTCAATATATATCGAAATATAACTAAAACGTCTTACATATAAGGATACAAAACAACGTAAGGTAACGATAACTATGTCATTCAACTATTCTCCCAAGCTCTAACTTTAATAGTTCGTAATCTTGGCGTCATTCATTTTGGAAATAATTCTTACCTAAAAAAGTACAAATATATACATATATTCCTTGATTGCGTCGATTTTTTTAGTGTTCATTGCGTGACTTCAATATACCCGGATTATAGTGATATCAATGAAATGTATATTCCGTCGATATATCCCGTTCATAACAACTAAGATGTAAAAAGTCAAGAATAAAGGTATTTGCAGAACGTGTATTTCAAGCGTTTTAATATTGAGCTGTAGACAAGCAACAAAATATGCAGCAATTGCATGTAGCATTGGAGTTTGGTAATATGCCCACTCAGAATATTAAGGTGACTGCTTGTATAAGTCACGCAAGAAATACAGGAAGCGGATTGACAAGTAGATGCTACCATACACACTTATATTAAATACGATCAAGGTTACACGTGAATAACGGTCAGGGGTAAATATTTGGCTGACGGAATAAGTGGGGGAGATTACAATAATTCACCTATACAATGGTTAGAATAAATCAAGTAGGCGTGTCACGATAATAATTGTAGTAACTTAACGTAACTGTTCGGTCTAAAGTTGAGGTAGACCAATTATGGTTATCAGGGTACAGTCTGATTATTATTAAGTTGATGATTGTTCAGTAGTTTGTCACCATGGCTTTGATCTGATTTCAAATGGTAGGTGTATAATATTTGCTAAATATGTGATCAGGGAGTCTTCTTTTAAGAAATTTAAAGCAATTAGTCCCTTTGGTTGTTTTCACATTATTTTTATTATTATCATTATTATTATTATTATCCTTGTCTACTCTTACCCCCAATTTCCAGTCTAATTGACCTTTTATTTTTATATATAAATGTTCTTAACAAGTATATATGTTATCAGATTGTTCAAAATGTATTGTGCTAATATATCACATAGTTCTGATGATCTTCGTATTCTTATTACACTATCGAAATATGTGATCGCTTTACATGTAGACTCTGATCCCTCTTTAATTAAGTGCATAAGTGTAACTGAATATTGTTTTCTAGTTGGTTATGGAAAACTCTATTACCTGTAGGAACTTTTAAAATCTGCTGGTGGAAGTATGGTTAATGTTATGCTCGAAGATCATCACCATGAAGAGTGGAAGGCTCCTTCTGCTCCTAAGATCAAACCTTTTTCTGGCGTAGGACATATGCTTGGTTCTCCGCTTCCTCACATAGTCTCAAATGCTCCAACTAAAGTCAATGTCAATGAAAAGCATGAACCCGGTGTTACAGTAGACGATACCAAACCGGTAACACAAATTCAGATCCGACTACCTGATGGATCGAGGTAAACCAATTGTTGTATGCTGCATAATAATACTAATGAATTGTGTTAGTAGCATTTAGTATCTTATTAATAACGTCTAGTAGAATAATTTTGATTGGATCTTTGAAAGTTATACTCTTTGCTCATTTTTTACTCATTTATTATTTGGTTTTTTGGTTGTAAACAAATTTCAACACTTTCATGAATGATACCTGTACTCCGGACTGGAATGTGTGAAACCAGATTTCATACATATATAGCAAACGCTTGAGTATCTGACAGTATGCTTCATATGTATAATGGTATTGATTTTTGTGAATAAACTTAGTTTTATGAAAGTGATTGAATACTAAGTTTGTCATATTTCAATTAGTTTATATAAACTAAATCCATCGTTTATTACATATCTTGTCGGATTTAAATAGCAAATAACTCTTCTAGATATAAGACTTATGTGTGAAAGAAAAAAGAACAAATGACCACTTGGTTAATCTATACTTTAAATTTATACGAATCACTTTTCTTTGAACTAATGTTTTTTACTACAGGTATGAGTATGCTATGGCACACTTCTACTATTGAGATGTATATTGTATGATCACACCAAGGCACCATAGCAGTCCATAAAGCTACAAAATATCAGTTCAAACGGTAGTTTGTAGACCAATTCATGTTGATTCATGAATACCCTGGTACTGCCGTGGTTGGGGAGAGTCAGCTTTCTCTCTTGAAATGCTCTCACATGACCACGCGTATACAATCACTGTCAGGGAAGTCCTACTCATTGTCTTCTCGTGGCGGGAGTGTTGTTTACGAAATTGAGAGGAGGGAAAGCGAATTTTTGGCGTTTTAACCGGGTTGCTGGATACGGAGGATCCGCCTAGGGAAGTTGGAAAACCCTGATTCCAAACAAATGGTGCAAGGGGACTCCAGGATTCTGTGGAAACAAATAGCGTATGAACCAATTGTTGGCCATCGGCTACCATGGAACCACATCTCCTCACGATGCCCCACTGCTTTGTGGATTAGTCATCTAGGTCAGAGGCTCGTAGAGTTGCCCCTTATAAAACCACCTGCTTCGGTTTGGGTATCCAGACAGTATTCTAGCCTTCATACAAATTAAATGATTTGTGTGGCTCATACATATTTGGTGCCTCTTTGTATCAATGTTCATGTGTTTAAATAAAATAAAATAAAAACGCAATTGTAAAAATTGCTAGTCTAAACATGTATGGCTCGCTAAGAATATCTGCAGAACAATTCACTTTTTATCTTATCATTAGTTTTCTTTACACAGATGCTCATGCCTTACTTTCAATTCCTTCTAGCTTGCTAACAATAAGCTAGCTGATGCACGTAATCTTGTTGGTTGATAATCATAGCACTGAACTATCCGTAGGTCAACAAAAGGCAATCGAATTAATCAATGGAAGTTCGCGTCTAAGGACAGCGTATCTGCAGAAAAAAGATCGTTGTTATATAAAGTATAACAACACAACTTTGACAGTTCACTGAGTTAAAGATATGTAATTTTTAGGGCGAATCAAATGAATATTATCATTCTCTCCGAATGAGAACACTTAAAGATGTTGCTCGATTAAGTACAATGTGGAGGTAGATTTTATTTGTGTGTGTAGAATACAAGACAGTATATAGCGGGATCGTCAGTCGTTATGTTATGACGTGTTCCTAATATTGTCTCAATAGAATTGGTTTGAATGATCTATAAGGCCGCCGTCAATATATCGTACTTCAGAAGATTGTATCTCGAGATCAAATGTCATAAACTAACGATTTTTATTCTTGTTTCACTTCATCCTGGTTTTGTCTATCTATGCTCACAGAACATCTAGATTTGGCATCGTCAAGAAGGAGTGGAGACGATAAGCTAGCTCTAGGTTATATAATTGCACCTTAGAAACAAAGTGTTCTTGTAACTTGACATTTTACTGTTTCAGATTTGTGGTCCGTCTAAACAATTTTCATACGATTGGTGATATTAGGAGAGCAATAGTCAGGTAAGTTCGCTATTTTTTGTATTTTGTGTTATATGACTTATAAGTAGCTTAAAAATTTATAAAACATTTATGATTGATAACAGTTTTTTTATCAATATCATTTTATCATTCTCATTATGTTCAATGAACTTTGTTACCATAGAACAAATTGTTTACTTTAGTTTAGTAATCTATGGAAATCATCTGAAAGTGATGTTTCAGAAGTTACATTTATTTCAGTTTTGATAAAAAAAAATCTGATGTATTTGTTGATTTATTTTAAGGTAAAAAACGTTTTTTACCAAATGGTAATGGCTTTTGTCTTCAGTATTTTTTAAACCCCGTTTCATTACCTGACCACTTTATGGTTTATAACGTGTCCTGTCAATTCATGAATTTCATCCCAAACACAAATATACCGAAAATGTAACATTGAGACTGATTTTCTACCTTCTTGTTACCAAATTTTCGATTGAGTTGTGGCCAATAGATAAACTTGACGCCTGATATCTGCTTTTGTATTCAGTCGTAGTTTTCTTTTACAAGGGCTTTTTTTCCATGAATATATTTCAACTCGTATGTAAATAAAATTAGTCAGCCAACAAAGTATTTTTAAATTGTGATTAGAACTATTTAATCTGACAGTGCAATATTTATCATTACGTTTCCAAGTTCTCGCCCATCATAGTAGAAGACGCTTACTGGTCGTCTTGAAAAAAGAAGAGCCTAATAAAGAGAGTGCTATTGGTCACTGGAGAAGGCAAAGTGAGCGAACTCATTACGGTTCACTTTGCGGTTTTTATGCATATTTAAGGATTTTGATATTGTGATTGAATTAATTACTTCTATACTATGCATAGTGGGAAGCATACTTGACTAATGTTCTTTTTATTTATTCTTGTTTCGGTTTTGAGTACATGAATTTAGTGACTAATGCTTTCGTTAAAATACTTTCGGACTTATATGGCTCAACATATACAAATGTACATGATCATATGTGAACTGATGACGTTGAGTGGAAATAATGATAAGCTCTTTATAATTAAGTGTTTTCTTTTGTTTCAGTATATGTAGTTCATTGTAGTTTCATGACAATCACTTATTGTCCTTTTATGATTTGATCTGATATAAATTTTCTGTAACATAAGATGGTTAGATTTACTAAACATACTTTTCTATAACTGTTATTTTAAGGCTGTATGCTTTATTTTCACATCATATAGCACTGAATTACGTAATCAATACAAAGTTTCGTTGTAAAGATATTTTAGCATCTTTCAAATGCAAATGTTTAATACATTTTATGTGAACTAATCATACTGTAGTGAATAGAACACGGATGGGGACAATCAAATGTATTTGACTAGAGAATTACAGACTATCTCACTAAAATCTGACAACCATACAGTAAACAATTAATTTGCAAAATAACAATCAATTGTCTCAATCTTGACTGTTCTTTTTGCAAATACCAATCCATCTTCTCTGAATTCATTGTTCATACATTGTCATACCAATTGTGTTCCGTTTCATTTCTTTCCTTATCGACCTAGCGAAATACATTTTATGCCTGACCATCACCATATACTACTTATGTGGATATAAGTAACACATCACAGATCTCTGGCATTAAGTTTTTTTTTCGAATATTATATTACTAGTATCTGAACAGTAAATTATGCTCCTTCTCTTACTGGTATATATATATATATATATATGATAAGATACAACCAAGTGTGTAATCATTCGTAAGTGATCATATTTATTCTTGACTTTATGTTTCTGTCTACAACTACCATTTACAATATATTCTACCTGTTCATATTTTTATACTTTCATTATTCCCCTTGCCTTATTTTTCTTCCTTTGACACCATATTATTACATTGTCATCAAAAAATATCTCCTATTTTTACAACGTGATTTACACATTATTTAAAATAAGTCTAAATAACATATTTTCAATTATGTTTATTATTCATTTTAATTTATTTTGTTTAATTAATTAATTATTTATTTATTAATAACTATTATTAATATCAATAATTGTAATTTAACATTTCACCTGTTGTGTTTCCTTCTCTATTTACATAATATTTCGATAATTTTGAATAATCAATTAATGTTATTTATTTATTTATTGCTATAAGGGTATTCTCTTTTTTGTTAAAGTCAATTAACCTTTTCTTTTTATTTTTTCCTTACTTCTTTTCTGACTTCTTTATTATTCTGATCATAAGTGTATTGTTATTTTAATTCAGGACTAAAATTTATACGTTTTAATCAAGGTATCATTACTGTTGTTATATTCTAATAGTATTAATAACTATTAAAAAACGGATATATTGTTGTTCTCTTTTTGCTACACATATAAAGTTGACAATTCTCCTAATACATTTGTATTATTTTGATTGTTATCATTATTGTTTTTTAAAAAGTAAAATCTCTTTGTCTGATTATCGCCTTTTATTTATTATGGATATAGTTTTGTTTTGATATTTTAAAAGTTTATATTTCATATTAAGGATACTTATTTGTTGTCCTTTTTTATTTTTCGATTCACCACTTACATTGTTAGATTTTTAACTAATGGACCAATGATTTGAATTTTTGATTTATTTGATTTTCAACCAGGATTTGATAAATTTTTTTTCATAGTTGAAATCATGAGTCAATCGAAGCTAGATCACCATGGAAAACCTGGAATCACTGGACATTAACACCGTTGGATGCCGGTGCAATGGTTTATCGGTTATGTGCTCCGACGCTAGGCTGGTAGATCCTGGGTTCGAATCTCGCAAGGTGGGATCATGAATGCGCACGAAACGGCCATCCAGTTCTTCCAGGTTTTCCGTGGTTGTCTGGCTTCAATCGACTCATGATTTCAACTGTGAAAATACTGAAATCTCCGCAAAACCCCTTCTGATCTAATCTTTTTTCGTTCATATTAATTTAAGCAACTGGGTAGTGATATAAATAATATCACACAAACAATATGCTTCAAGGCTGAGTACATACACACATATACTGTATAAGTAAGTTATCAATTAATAGAACTTGAAGTTTACCTTGATATACATAATAACTGACAAATTCTACTTAGTTTCTATGTAATAAGAGTTGAATAATGATGTGTAATCATCAAGTCATAATCCTGTATAAAATGACAACCAGTTTTAGTTACCATAAAGACAATTCTATCAGCATTATTTGTATATCAAAATGAAGTTCATCAGTAATTCTACTATAACTTTGTTTTGTAACTCACACAATTGTTATTCACAAAACTTGTGGTGAAATAGTCAAATAAATATTCAACTTTTCTCTCAAATTTATTTCTTGTCTATTTTATGTAATATGTTGTAATCCTATAAAAAAGAGAAAAGATTTTAATCAGTAAGAAAATTAGCAATTAACGAGTTTTTCTTTCTGTTTAATGAATACTAACAACAGTAACGTCTATAATCTGTAACTCTTGGTTTTGTTATCCTGATGTAGTTGGATCACAATTGTGTTTTTTTTCTTCATCGTATCATATCCTTTACTTACATTATTAATAAGTAAAATTGAACGTTCATTATGGGATCAACTTTATACGTATATAAACGTGCACTCCAGCTGTGTTACTATCTGAAATTTTTTAGATGAAATGTAGAAAAATTTAATTAAATTTTTTGTCTAGTAAATTCTGAAGTGTAAAAAGGGAAATACAAATTCAGTATATTAGTTACATTACATCTATTAAGTTAGACTATATTTTTACAAAGATTGTACGCAGTAAGATCTTTTCTATATTCGGCTTAGTGATTAGTAAGTCTATCTAATATAACTATGTAATTTAAGTCTAAGTTCATCCACAATATCTCTTAACTTGGTATTCTGATAATGAGTTTGAAAATTTTTACTTAGTGTTTCTTGGTTTTTAAGCTGCAACCGTAAATTCTTATCTATTGTTTGTTACATTGTATATGATTTGTATTTTGTAATTCATCGTTTTTCCACTTCATTATTGACTTTTCGTAGTGCAGGATTTCTCATGTCATTTTAACTGTAGGTTGTTCTGCTATACGAGAATATGGATTTTTTATTTATGTCCGCTGTCGAATTTCATCTTTGTTCCTTATCGTACCCAAAAGCTACTGGGTTTTAAGTCTTGGAGTCTTAAGCTCAAATCTATTCTACTTACTTTGGTTTAGACAAACAGCTTACGTCATAATCAGTCATCTATAAAAATCGTGATAATTTTATTTCAGCTTTGCATTGGTTTCTTGTAGATGTTTTATTACTCTTCCTAAAACAATATTTTCGGAAGACGTTCTAAAATTGTAAAAGTATGTTACTATTATTAGACCATACTAAGTTATTTTCTATAATTAAGTGCATTACTGTCAAAAATGTTTTTCACGCCTGCTATATTTTGTGCAATGGATAGACCTTTTTATAAACAAATAAAATCTTTACAGTATGTATGTGAAATGTTCGTTGGTTGTATCAATACAAAATGGATGCAACTATAAGAATGTATGCGATTATTTTCTCATCCCGATTACTTTTAAATTATTTGGTTTACCACCTATTTACTAGACTAATGTAAAGAGTAACTATCGGTTATTTAACAAACACGTACTTTGATAATGAACAACTTTGTTGTTGTTTATTTACTGCTTCTGATTTTGTCTACCTTTTTTAATAAAAGAATGTGAAGTCTATTATCTTTCATAACTCAAAAACTATTTTTCATATTTATTATTTTTATTCATGTACTCGTTTAGGGGTAGTCGTTCATGGCCTTATTAATACTTACTGATATAATTTTCACTATCTAATTGTACTAATGTTTTCATTAGAAAATCGTTTGTCATGTTTCTTAGACTAAATTTTAACTGTAATAATAATTGTATAGAGATTAATAAGTTCGTGAAATAGGAGGATATTGAGATTGTTCAAATCGATTTCTAGGTGATATAAATGTTTTTGAATGTGACTAATCTTTGTTAGTATGTCGGCTCCTTGAACAGATGGTTTGATATTGTCTCCATTTACACTATGACTACATTTCAAAGAATAATATCCAAAAACACGGTTAAATTTTTTATTAATATTTCTTGTAACACGATCTCTTTTCTCAGTCTAAATTTCTTAACTTCTGCAATTTTATATATCAGTAAAATGTTTTTATCCTACATGAAGAAAATTCAACTTTGTTTCTTTCTTTGAATTTGAATTATCGTTAACTAATATTTATCAAAAAATGACCTAATATTTCATCGATTCTGATGTGTAAGTTAGTGTGACCTCACAACTTCCTGTTTTACAGAACTGATGAAAACTAAAACAGTTTTGTGTAATCTTGTTATAGGATTGGATATTTTGTTATTTCAAGTTATCACTATGAGTTCTTTTATCAGCCTTAAAAATATTTTTAATCACAGGAATTAACAACCTTCATTGAAATATGATTATTACTTTTATGTATATTGCACGAACTAAGTCAAATCAGTGCAAAAATGTTGTAGAGTGAAGCAGCATTATTTTGTATATTTTATATCTTCATGACTTCAATCAAGTGGTTTTACTCTCCTAACATAGTTCTAAACCTGTTTCATAATTATGTGATTCAATTAGGAAAATAATGCTTTCATAGTATACATTTCATGTAGCTTAGTTTAAGATAATATACTTTTTTAAACAGTTAATTATAACTAACTGAAATATACATTAAGTTATTCAGATGTTTTGGAACAAATATTTTAATTGTTACTGCTCGTTTAGGTACTTCTGCAATCTTAAAGGAATTGGTGATTCCTGTACGATTTGAGCCTTCATTATTCAGCTCTAAAATCATAAATGATATTATCAAGCTAATAAGTCCTAAATAACACAACTTATATCAAATAGGATTTCCTGTGGACTCTCCATCCTCCTAACAAGAAAATGCAGGCAATATCGAATCATTTAGACTAATGACCATATTGCAACTTGATCTGCAGAATTTAATCAGCACTAAGTAAACTCGACAAATTTACTCGTTAATCAATCGTTACAGTGATATCTAGTTCATTACACTAGTTTATTTTTAATGGAATATATACAATACCCAAGACTATTAACGCATAATAAAATTAATGAGCTTTCATGAAGTATTATTTCTTACTGTTATTGGAAATTACCGAGTTTTGAGTTGTGTATTTAGTTACAATCATGATTGGGTCGAATAAGACGTAATTTTTAGTTGTTACAATAAAGGCACATAGTGTTGAGTTTCAATATTTTCCAAACTTCCATATTCATTGTAAATAGGAATTTATATTTTACTAGATATATCTCTTATATCACTGTTGTTTATTGTAAAAAACACCTACAATGTCTTAGTATAAGTATTCGGTTTGTTATTAATTCATAGTTAACACTTAATCTGGATTGGAATGTAAATAAATATTACAAAAATAGTTATTTACTGACCCAACACATAAATTATGATTTTCTATTTCTCCTCCCTGCACACAATAAATACATAATATTGTTTTAAAATTTTTATTAATAACATAGTGGGGAAAAAAACAATAATTTGTAACGTTGGTGTTCAAAATAGATGTTGTTGAGTTTTTATTCAAATCTAATTAAAATCTATATTACTCATTAGAAAAGTACACGGTCATCTACTCAGTTTCAATTCAAGCTTTTATTTAATGTTTGCTAATACTACTTGGTTGCCAAACTACCCTTCAAATGTACACCACAGTAAATATAGGTGACTTTCTTTAATAACATCTATAATTATTTAAGTTCTCTTTTGAGTTATTTCAATACAATTTTCTGTGTATAAAACGTAATTTCACGAGATATGTACGTTTCTCAGTACTCACTGACAGTATTAGTAATAATAATTTTAAGTCTAATGATGTCTAAACAATATATGAAATGTCATTTCCCTAAACTTTTATAATTTTCATGTAATGACCCAACTTTTTCTGGTCAAATTACAGGAGTGTTGGAAATTGTCTTACTACAATTTATCAAACATTAAAATAGTGTTTCTTATACGTAAATTGATTTAATTAGTTGACTTTTTCCTATCATATTGTACATGAAATCAATATCGGAAGTTAATTCCATCAAGAAAAAGGCTTCATATATTATCAACAGTTAACTGGTGATTTCATTTGTATATTGAAAAAGAGAAAATATCAAGCCACAATAAGAAAGTTATACTTATTATTAATTTGGTTTAGTCTACTTTTAGTATCACTGTGTCGAATACATCTTTTGATAAAACCGTTCAACTAACGTTTCTTTAATGACAACTAAGCATCAACGAGGCTGTTCTCATAACGAACCTGGAAAAAACTCATATACCATGTACAGATATGTGAGCTTAGCATTTATCCACACTTAATGTGTAAGGCCCGCAACCATTAAGCTACCGCCCAATCGTGGACTTGCATCAGCTAGAAAATTATCAGGAACCAAATAGCACCGAACAATTGGTAAAGATCAGTAGCGACAAACATTGCATGACATCAAAAAGACTTGCACTATTCGTGACTTAGTTTAAACCTTACTGCCTACTATTTCTCAATAGAAATTCGCGAATTCCTTTCGAAGCTCTGAATGTATTATCCTCACTACGAGGTTCGAAGCTACTGGATTTGATTTTTCACTGAGCTGTGGATCTATACTGACGAGGATTTCAAACTGAAAGTGAAACACTTTTTCAATAATCCATGGTTTTCGTTGATTGATTGGTTGATTTAAAGTGGGCAGTCTTAGAGTAAAGACTTAAAACCCTGATGATCAGAGCTGTTGGTTGCAGAAATATATTATTATTAATCTTTAAACACATGGTCGTTTCTCCACCTAAACTTTATCTCTAATCTAGTTGGGTACATAGTGTAAATTTCACTGTCGGTTGTATTTTAGACAAATTGTCACTGCTGAATAGTTGTTATTTTCGATAACGTAACACAAATTATTTATTCAGTATGATTTGTTTGCCTTTCTCATAGCAATTTGTTTAAATTAGTTTTTAATATTGTAGGAACTTTAATTGTTTAGCATATATATATATATATAATCTTTATTTTTGTTTTACTCCCTTCAAAATTTTAGTGAAAGACCTGATTTGGCTTCCAGATTATTTGCATTGATGACATCATATCCAACTCGTGTGTTAAATGAAGATGCACAAACACTAGAAGATGGCGATCTTTTGAATTCATCACTAATAGTTCGATTTATATAAATGATACTTAATTATTGGTTGAATTCACTGTTAATACCATTGCTATTACTACTATGACTACTGTTAGTAGCACAATTATTGAATGTGAGTAGTCTTTTGTTGTGTTCGAAATGCAGAAAATCAACAAAATGTGAAAATATCTAATAAATTCTGAAAATTTTCCAATGGTACGTATGGTGAATACTTTAATTGTTTTAAAATATTTTGTACCTCAGTACACATTTTGTCTTTTTATCGTCAAATTTCTTGGTGAAAATATTCAAGATGAAACTGTTTATCTGTTGGTTTTGTTTCTTCATTTTTACGCATGTAAATGTGTTCTTTAATCAACTGACTTTCACGACAAATGTACATTGTTGTCTTTTTGAAGATCAATTGATAACAAATAGTTTGAAAATGATCGTTATAATAAAAATCTACATACGTAGTCTTAACCCATTTGGGTTTTCTTGATTGTCTTCAAGCTGCTAGTTCTATGGGTTGCGTTCATGCTCATATTTTCCCTCTCATCGAAAAGAAATGGGTTCAAGGCTTGATGTTAAGACTATTTGATTTTCTACCGGTAAACAGTATTTTGATTTAGACGGGTTGCTGTTATCACCTTAAGCTGAGTTCACGAATCATACGTTTAAACGAATTACACTATATGTATTAATACTACTGATCCTGGATATAACATACCACCCTTAGTTATTGTGTATTTCAGGAATTTCATGGTAAATAAGTGAGAGCAGGTAATATTTCTTTACAAGTACACGCTATTAGTGTTCCTGGTTGTGTTTGCGAAAATAATCAGACATTCAATATGCCTACTTCTATAGAGACGTCTTTATCATTATAAGAATATTGAACAAGTAGAATACCAGCGATCAGTCTTTCAATTCAATTCACTAGTGTTCAGCCATATGTTTATCAGTCTCGAACAACTTTTCTTAAATGTTGGGCGTACTTGTCTTCTATCTGGTCAATTGTAATAAGCGTTTTGTTTCTTTAGTTTGTCAAAACCAACCAGTCAGGTGTCTAATTTCGTGTCCCCACATAAGCATTATATTCAGCATAAAAGTGACAATTCAAGAAGAAAATGTATTGACTAGCATCACTTCAAAATTAGTAAAAGCTAAAGAGTTGAAGAAAAAAATACTGTTGTTATTCGTTGGTCGGTTCATTGTTTTCTAAGTTTTAACATAAAATGATTAAATCCAGTATGCCAGTTATGCTAAAGAAGACTCAAACACTTCGAATGACGTTAACAACAATAAACTACTTCTGTTGAGCTAAATCCAAGGCTCAATCATATTTCTAATATATGTTATCCGAGTGTAGCGTTATGTGTTGTCAGCATTAAGCTATCAACTTTTAGAATAAGATACATACAATTGTTCACGATTGTAAATATTCCAGAATGTCAAAAGTACACTATCTGAACTGTAGTTACTGGTTATTTTCTTCAATTTTTCCTAATTAGTAATATATTAAATATGGTTACGTTATTTTATAGTAAGAATTCTCTTTATTTAAATAAGTAGTGTTAAATCAAATGAACAGTATTACCACCATTTTGAATATAATATGATTGCATTGAACATTTTTCTTGTTTCATAATCCCGACGCTCACTTTCTGTGTTTTCACACTTGCTGACGTAATATTTCCTTGAAATAATTTTAGTCACCAAATTGATATTAACTGTGGAATCATTGAAAATCAATCAGTAATGTATTCTTACTCAGCAGTTCAATGGTTTTATACACATCGTAAAACTAGGAGGCTCTATGATTGATCTCATTTATAGATAAACATTCCTGAAAGTCCTTAGACTTTACAGCTTTCACAAATTCATCAAAAAGCCATCTCATTAAGTAGTATTTTTTATTGTTTAAGTTTTGTGGGATGTTTTGTTTATTTGTGACATTGTATGCTTGATTTATATCACATATAGTGAAATCAGTATATAATTTACCCTTGTTATTCGTTGGGTCATTAGGCACTTTCGTTGTACCGAGATTGTATGCCATCTGCAAATGATATTATTACTAAATTTGCACACAGTTGTCTAGACTTCCTTTGATAAACTTGCCATGTAATAAATAAATGGAATGGGTTATGTTTGATTAATAGCATCGATTAACGTTGAGAGTTTTTTTCTAGTCATGCGTTCTTAGCTAAACATAACAAAACCATTAACTATAAAATGGAACAACTGTCATGGGTATCCTGTTTTCAGTAATTACGGGCTAAGACTTCAAAATATTTCTATACAAACAAAAGTAAAATGTTCACAATAATCAGTAAGTTTTTGTACATGGAGAAACTATAATCATCCCTCATAAAAGAATATATTCTTGAGTAAGGTATATTAATTAAAAATATTACAAGTAAACCTTTGGGATTGACTTCAACAACCCTTCATAAACAATATAAGGCCATCCCTCATAAAAGAATATATTCTTGAGTAAGATATATTAATTAAAAATATTACAAGTAAACCTTTGTGATTGACTTCAACAACCCTTCATAAACAATATAAGGCCATCACGATCGAAGCAAGTTGAACGGGATTTGAACCAGTAACTCAGTCATATGTTATAACCGCCAAATTGTTGCTAAAATGCATCTTTTTCTTATGAAAGTTCACTAAATGTAAAACCGAAATTTAAATGAATTCGAATTATTCAACAGGAGTTGGTCAGTAGGTAAACCAAACAATTTAATCCAGAGATTTAAGTCCATTAGTATGCGCATTGTTCAATGTATCACGGTCATTAGCTAAGAGCTGGAATAAACAATGGGTAATTAATATTAGTCGTAAGTTTAATAATTCATATATAAAATGACGCAGTATTAATTAAACTAGATCAAAATGATTTAATCATTTAGGTATATCAAAGTGAAAATGAATGTAGCATTTCTGCCTCATGTGTTATAACCAGTCAACAAAAAAACAAAGGGCTCAAGATTCACTTGTGATATATATCTCATTCTATTATCTACATTATATCCTTGTATAAGTTATGAATGAGATTTTAAACAAATGATTTGAAAACGCTCGACAGATATTCAGATCAAGTGTTAGTGTAAATATCGTGTACTATTTTCTTTTTAAAGTATTACCGACAAAGAAACATGAAAAATTGTTATCCGTGTAATGTATTATTGAGCTCATTTAAAATGTTTTTCTTTTCAATCTGGTCAATCTTAATTTGTTTAATTAAACGTCTTTCTTTTTCCACTAAATCAAATCAAAATGATGAGAATTGAATGAGAGCAATTCATTATGGACTGATATTACTTATTTAGCTTAATGTAAAGTACATATTGTGGTACATATTGTAGTTGCAATAAATTTGACAAAATTGTGAATTTATCCAATTTTTTTGTCTGAAAAAAATAAAGAAATATACTTTCATTGTCAATCCAATTTATATTGAATGGCTACAACATACGTAAATTATGGAATTATACTGATCTTTTTATTTATTATTTACTTGTAATACATATATATCTGATGACATTTACTAGTAAAGATAAATCGTAATGTCTGAAGTAAATAAGTTGCAATATACTGGTTTTTATTGAGTTATTTGTAGGTAATAATTCAATAATTATATGAAGGCTTTGTTATGATTGGTGTGGAACAGTTGCTTTAGCCAAATTGGTAATGATATTAATGCTTCTTTTTCCGAGTGCCAACTTTTGTGCACATTTGATTAACTGTCAAAAATCGTTTGCTGATATACTTGCCTCAATATATTACATTCATGAATAATGGGAAGATGAATAAATGTAATCAGTAGATTTAATTACCTAAGTAAGAAATTTATAGTCAATAGTTAATGTACACGTTTTTACCGCTAATCTCTTGTCAATTAAAACGTTTCGTCTGATCATATCTCTTACAAGAGGGAGCGAATATTTCTGTTTTAAACAGACTAAAAGTTATTACCCTAGGACAAAAAGTATTAAAAATCAGTATCTACCTAGGTTTAAGGGTACAAGTATTAATTCTAACCATTACAGTCGATCCGTAACTTTTATTTCGTAGAAGATTTTCTACACAATTGTCTAGTGAAAGTTGATTTAGTTGTGATTTTCAAAACGAAGGTTTAAAATATCCTACAAAAAACGTTCCTACTATGGCACTGGAATTAAAGTTTTTAGTCTTATTTATAATTTTTGTAACCAAAAAACATGCTCTGAAACTTGACCACTTCGGTATTCATTTATAAGTTGAACTTTTTTGATCTATTTAGTTTTTAGATTACTGATTTATTTACCTTACCTCCACATAACCTAGACTTTGTTTATTATAAAGGTTATGAATTACACGATAGCAGACACTTTTTACTATCTAACGTGTCTTCATTAGTACGGGTTATTTTTTCCACTAAATGTAATTTGACTTTAAAATAGAATAACCGATTACGAATAGTGATAAATTTCAAGCTATGTAAAAATGCTGTGTAACTTTAATCTAGATTGTATTTCAATTATACGTCTATTACTTAGCCCATAAATTTTCTTATGGATTTATAAGGGTTGTAAACATCTTAAAGTGCACGTAAGTCTGGTATTATAGCAAGGTTGTACCGAATAAATAAATTCAACCGAGTAAACAAATAGTGTAAGTTGTTTTAGAGTTAAAGATCACGTCTTTCAGAAATCTGTGTTTGAAATGTTGTCTTCATATTTTAAACAATTAGGTCAGATTTCCAAATGACTTCTGGAAAGTAATATCAAAATTCGTTTTGTTCATCTGATAATTTACATCAGTCAATGACTTTGCCTAATCAACCAATAAAAAACACCAGTCACTGAGATTTTACATCGGTAACTAATCACATGCTGTATTTTCCTCATATTTCATGTGCCATTTTGCTAAACAAACTACAAAACTAATAATATCCCAATAGTTCGATTTCATCTATTCATACATAAAAACACGGAGACTTATTATCAACGATTATATACGACTCATTTAGTATCGTTTGCTTGAATCTGCCCA